ATGATGATGCTCCAACAGTAACCGAAGATAATATACCACAATTAACAATTTGTCCATCTTCATCAACTTCAACAGGAGAACATGATCCACCAGTTATATTTCGTAAACCTTCAATATTAGCAATTAATACAATTACTACTAGTAATACATATAATCTTCCACAAATTGAAGGAAAATATCAAGATATTCAAACTACTATAAATACAAATAGTGATGATAATAATGGTTTTTTTTATAAATTTTTTGGATGTTTTAAACCATTTATTTCTGTTATGCATCAATTTGGTGAAAATATAAAATATCATAAAAAAACGCCAAATACATTAATAAAATCAAATGATGATTGGGAAATTTCAATTGATAATATTGTTAATTTAAAATTTATTGGTGGTGGTATAGAAGGTTCAGTTTTTCATGGAAAATTAAATGGTCAAGATATTGCATGTAAACGAGTTAAATCTAAAGAAGAAACTAATATAAAACATTTAAAAAAATTAAATCATATTAATGTTATTAAATTTCGAGGTTTGTTTTTGTACTATTTCTTTTTTTTTATCATTTTCTTTTGTTTAGGTATTTCTATATCACCACCATTATATTATATAATTATGGAATATTGTGCAAATGGTTCTTTATATGATAAATTAAAACAATATCGTGAAATAGATTTTTGTACAAAAGCAACACAAGTTCTTAATTGGTCAAGACAAATATCAAATGGTGTTGATTATTTACATTCAAATAAAATTGTTCATCGAGATTTAAAATCACCAAATATACTTTTTTTTGATAAAAATATTTTAAAAATATCAGATTTTGGTATAAGTAAAGAATTAATTAATCGAAGAAGTTTAATTATGTCATTTAATGGAACAAGTGCTTGGATGGCACCTGAAGTTATTAAAAAAGAACTTTGTTCAGAAAAAATTGATGTTTGGTAAGTATTTTTTTTTTTTTCTATTTTGAAAATAATGATATTTAGAAAAAATCTTCAATCATAGTTGTTAAAATTCTTCAGTTCATGGATCATTTGTGAAATTTTATTGTTTCTTGCCATGATAATTTAAAAAAGAAAAAAAAAAGTTGTTTTTACTGTTTCAAATGTATTCATAATGAAAAGTTTTTATCAGGAAAAATTATTTCAATGTAAGTTTGATACATGATAGTTGTTATACTATTTATTTTTTTTGATTTTAATCAAAATAAAAGCATATTTCAATTAGAAAACTTTGAAGAAGAAAAATTTTGCAGAGAATAAATATTTAAATCTTATCAAAAACAAATCATATTTATAACATAAATAAATTCATTAGAGAATTTATATGAAATATTATTCGCAATTTAATTCTTGTATATTTTATTATTCACTGTGACTATACGCTTGATTACGGCTTGTCACAACGTAACGCTGTGACGTTTTTGACAGACTTTTTTTGAATTAGCTCTGAAACTATGAGAGCTAGAAAGTTCGTTCAAATGCTATTTGACGCAGCTTGTCAAACTCTATTTATTCTATAAAAACGACTTTTTTTTCAGTAAAAGACTCGAGCTTCGAGAAAGAGTTTTTGGTCGCGTAACGCTGTGACATAAAAAGACTCTTTTTCTTCAGAGCGACTAATAAAGCTGCAATTTTTTGTAAAAATATTTCTCCAAATGAAACACTGCTGAAGTAAATTGAACAGACTTTTAAACGCTAAAAAAAAATTTTCTCTAAACTATTTTTGCTTCGATAAAAAAAGGCAAAAAATAAACGTAACACTGTGTGACACAGTTTCTTGTCGACCAAATTTGAGGTACTTAACATGATCAAAACGATTTGATTTTTATAAGTGTTACTCTTTTCTGTATATAAGAGTCTACAAATTGTCCTTAGCCACTAAATGTCAAATTCGTAATCAGCGTTAAAAGCTGCATCTAGTAACTCATTCAGATCTATCCAACTCGAAAAAAAAAGTTTGATCAGTGAAGTGTCGTGTTACGTGGACAAGTCGATTAATGAAAAGTTTGACGTTCTAAATTTTTAAAAATATCGACGTTACACAATTAGATATATAATTGCTGTTCATGTAACTAAAACTAAATTTAACATCTCGTAAGCGCTATCTTTACAGTAAATTGTTAATATATCTTTTTATATCTAGTTTCAATTAATAACGATGAATTATAGATTAGCTGAAATCAGTTGATAAAATATGATCATTCTACATGAAACAATTTAATCATACTGTTGAATTTACTAAGACTATTCAAATTCGAGCATCAATGATGATCTCTAATCCTATAGTGGAAATGCTCAATCTTGAAAACATCCGATTAATGTTTTACTGTGATTAGGACTACAACAATGATGATCGATTTTTCACTTAATTCAAACATATTTAAGAAAATGATCACTAATAGTATTTAGTAATCAGTCTTTACCATCAATTTCTCGTCTGTATATCGGTTTATTGATGAAATAGTGATTGATTATAATCGTTGCATCCTAAATTGAGATAGCATTTTTTAGAGCATAATTTTCAAACTCTTGTCAATATTAAGATTACAATCAAATTCATTATATACAGCCTAATCAAAATGATATATATATAATCTTTTCATTTGAAGCTTTTTGTAAAGGACTTGTTAATCATTCTTAGAACAAATTTTTTTTTTCTAGGTCCTTTGGTATTATTCTTTGGGAAATGGTAACTTGTGCAGTACCATATAATAACATTGATCCAATTGCAGTTATGTGGGGTAAGTACATCTATCCTATTTGAAAATATTATCAGACAAATTATATTCATGTTATTTTTGGTATTGAAATTCAGGTGTAGCAAAAGGTACTTTAAAATTACCAATTCCATCATCTATACCTGAATGTTTTAAATCTTTAATGACAATGTGTTGGAATCAACAACCATCAAATCGTCCATCATTTCAACAAATAATAAAACATTTAGATATAAAAAAATCTGAAATAATATTATTTGAACAAGAACAAGAATATGCTGAATTAACACGTTTATGTTCAAATGAAATAAATGAAAATTTATTAAAATTTTCAACTATTGATATATCATCAATACTTCAATTAACAAATGATGAATTAATTGAAAAACGTCAAGAAGAATTACAATATATTAATGATTTACGTCAACGTTATGAATTACGTACACAACAAATAAATAGACTTTATATTGAATTAAAAACATTAATGATACAATTAGAACAACGTGAACAAATAATTAAAGAAAAAGAAAATTTACTTAATATTAATGAAAAAAAACGAACTATTAATGCAATAACACAAGCAAGAAAAAAATCATTAGAAATTATTAAAGTTGCAACACGAAATTTAAATGATCCTATTAATTTATTATCACAAAAAAGACGATATCTTAAAAAAGATAATAAACAATGTAAGTTTTATTTTAATACAATCATTTCTATTTTTATTGATCAATACAAAATCTAATTATTTTTCTAAATCAAGAAAAAAACAAACATTGAAAGAATAGATATGAATAAGCAAATTCTATTGAGATTAATATTTAAATTGTCTTTCATTTTAATAAATTATTCTTCTTCATAGAAAACTTTACGTTTTTGTTATATAGCTTCAAATATTCAACTATCAGCTAATTTACATAATACATCAAATCAATTAACCAACAAACAAGATTTAACAAATATAAAAAATCTAAGTCGACGTAAAAAAATTTCTGGTCATCATAATAATAATAGTAAGGAAAATGCGATATCATCCAATCATTCAACAACTGAATCTCAAAAAGAAAGATATACTGCAATAAGTACAATACAGTTAACAGATGAAAAATTAAATTTATCTTCAACAACAACAATTAATTCTCCTTTACCATCTATATCAGCTGTTGTTGATGCAAAATCCAAAACTAATAATTATGAATTAAATCGAAAAAATTTAAAACTTGATTTTAAAAATCCAATAAATGAATTAATATCTTCATCAAATAATTGTTCAAAATATCGTGATGAAACTCATTATCATACATTTCCAAGACAACGTCGACGTCGTTATATAAATAGTGATAATAATAAAACAAAATATTCATCATCGATGTCATCACTTTCAACAAAATCTAATCTATCAAATGAACAACATTCACATAGTGTTAAATTTCATTTATCACCATTAATAATAAATGATCAAAGTTCTCAACGCAAAATTATTAAACATATGTCTTATACATCATCTGAAGAAGGTGAAGTAGAAGATATTCATAGTGATAATTATATTCTTGATGATAAAAAACATCGTGATAAACATAATTGTTCATCGGAAAGTGAAATTTATGGAGAAAAAAATAATCATTCTTTATTAAAAAATGATGGTAAAATTATAATATTTATATTATAATTTGTATTAAAAATTGATTGTTCAATTTAGGTATATTTTCTGATGAAGGTGGTCATGTTTCTGATGATCGTCCTGACTCACGTGAATCAATGTTTAATAGTGAACCAGAACATGAATAATACAATCAACAGTGAATAACAACAAGTTAATTATTTTTTCTTGTTTTTTTTTTTTCAATCAAAATTTAACGTCCATCAATGAAGTTTTATTTTCTATTGAAATGATATTTGTCTACATTTAAATGAATACATTAGAGTATAAATCTATATGTGAACACTCTTTATGTCCTATTTATTCTTACATGAGAGAATCTATTAATGTTCTGTCTTGTATATTTTAATTGTAGTTTTGTTTGTTTTTTGTTTTGCCAAAAAAAAAAAAAGAAATATCCCTAAGAGAAAACTTCTGTTTACATGTATATATATATATTTATAAATTTATTTCGTCCGATATGAGTGCTATAGAATATTTTTTCGTTAATGGTTTTATTTGTAAAACATATCCGTTGCCATTTCTAATCAAGAATTATCTTTCCTTTTTTTCTTTTCATTGTTCAACGAAAAAAAAAAAACAGTTTATTATTTTTTTGGTCATATTCTAGATAATTATTGAATAAATGACAGATTTTATTTCATCTGTAGAAGAAACTGTTGTTAATGGTGATGTTGTTACAACAACAACAGAAATTAAAACAGTATAGAAGAATTTTTCTTTTTTCGAAATATTCTTTTTTTCGAATAAATTTCATTTTAATAGATGAATCCTGATCATTCAGTTACAACAACAACAACAGTTGATAAAACTGATCAGTAAAAATCATTATTTTTTTTTTTTATTAAAATTCGAAAAATAAATTTTTTTATTTTTATATTAAGTGCTGATGAAGATAATCATATGACAACTATAAGTCAAACAACAACATCACCAGATTTAGAACAAAAAATTATTCGACAAATTGAATATTATTTTAGTGATATTAATATGGTTCGAGATAAATTTCTTAAAAATGAAAGTATTAAAGATGATGGTTGGATACCATTATCTTTATTAACAACATTTAAACGTCTTCAATCATTAACAACAGATTTTCAAACTATAATGAATGCACTTAAAAATTCATTTTCAGGTCTTTTACAATTAAATGAAATAGAAAATAAAATTCGTCGTCATCCAAATCGTTCATTACCAAATAGTCAAGCTGAACTTGAATTAACATTAAAAAATCGTACTATTTATGTTAAAGGTTTTCCACAAACTGATGATGTTACATTAGATAAATTATTTAATTTTTTTGAAAAATATGGTGCAACAGATAATATACAAATGAAAAAAAAATTTAAAACAAAAGAATTTAATGGTTGTGTTTCAGTTATTTTTCCAACTGAAGAAAAAGCACAAGAATTTATTGAAAATTCAAAAATAATACCAATTAAATATAATAATCAATCAATATTAGAATGTTCTTTAGAAGATAATAATGATAATGAAAAAGAAAAAGAAAAACAATTTAAAAAAGAAAAAAAACAAGAAGAATTAAATAAACAAACTAATCAACATTTAGAAAAATTAAATAATGAAAATTTACTTGGTGCACTTATTCATCTTGTTGGTAAAAAATATATTTTCATTAATTAATTTTGAATTTTTCAATCTCACATTAGACATACAATGGAAGATTTTTTATGTCTATAACAAATTCAAGAACTCAACAAGAAAGTTGAGTTTGTTGTCAAATAATTCAAATTTTTGAGTTTCATCGATGAAAAATCATTATTGAATTTACTTGTGATTAGACATGTTAGCCGATCTTTTAATCGGCGGTGGCGGCGGATAAATCACGCCGAGGAAGACATCTTCGACGGCGGCGGTGAAATTTTTCGAAAGTCATTTTACCAAGTCTTTTGTTGATTCCAACCTTTGTTACAAACATTACACTTTCTGTTTTCATAGAAACATATCGTTATCTCCCTTTTCGCACATGGGTCTCTTTTTATATTAAAAACCTTTCACTGTACTTCAATTTATTGTCATCAATTCAAGAAGTTGTTTCTGTATTAATGATGATGATAACAGGACATCAGGATGCTCGACGAGTTGTTTGTCATAGCAAACCTTGCAATAAATATTCTTGTTATCAATCACTTCTTTCGTAACTGATGATGTAAGATGACCGAAATGTGACCACGCAAGAGATTGACTGGCCTTGAAAGGACGGGGTTTGACGTGAACATCTCGAACATAATGCGTCATTCTAGCGGATAGGTATGTATTTTTTCGCTTGTTAGATACAATACAATGATAGCAATAATGTTATTCGTGTGAAAGGAAGTGTAATGCGAAGCGTCTATTTATACCCTTTTGACCATATTGTTCTAACTCCAAACTTGATCGGCGGCTAACATGTCTACTTGTGATCTTGTTCAGAATCAGATTATTATTCTCAAAATAGTTTTGATATACTTCATAATAGTTATTTGTAAAACAAACGAACACCCCCTCCAAATCAGAAAGTGATACAACTAATAGATAGAGCTGATTCTACGAACACCGATATCTTTTGATAGTGAGTAGCCCTACTCAAGTTAGGTGCAGGCGCAAAATTTCAGTCTTTTATATGCTTGCATAAAGAAAATAGTAGGGAACGAGTTTTTCAATTTTAAATCTTCATACTTTAATTTCGTTTATATATTCTGAATTCGATTATAAGGCTTAAAATTGAAATAGTCGGTCCCTGCTATTTTCTTTATGCAAACATATAAAAGACTGAAATTTTGGGCCTGTACCTAACTTGAGTAGGGCTACTACTCACTGTCAAAAGATATGGGTGTTCGTAGAAGCAACTCACCGAGCTCTATCTACTAGTGGTATCACTTTCCGATTTGGGGGGTGTTCGCTTGTTTGACAAATATCTCTCCATAATACATTTAAATCATATTGAAAATTGTCAAATTTTTAATCTAATAAGATAAAATCAGAGAAGATATATATGATAATCAGTTAGAAAAGAAAAACACTATTTTACACATCGTTTTCTTTCATAGACAAAGTTGATAATTCGAAAAACAATTTACTGATTTTTCACAAATCATGTTTCTTTGTATGACTACTTAAAAATATATGGTATAACATATTATTATCACAACTATTTTTTTGTTTTTAATAATACTTTAAAGGTATGGCAGCTAATACAACACGTGAATTGATCAAAGCAAAATTTAATCCATTTACTAAAATGCCATGGATTGATTTTAATAAAGGTGATACTGAAGTAAGATTTGAGAATTTTTTTTTTCTTTTATCAAAATAAATATTCATATGATTATATGAAGGCATGGGTACGATTAAATGAAGCAAATACAGCAAAAGATGTTCTTGAAAAAGTTTTAACAGCTGAAAATGGAAAATTAATTATTGAAAATAATGAAATAACTTGTCGTATTGTTGAAGGTGAAGAAGAAAGACAATTTTGGAAAGAAGCAAATGAAAAACGAGCAGCACAACGAACAAAAAAAAATGAAAGATATACTAGTGGAAAACGAAACGGACGTAGCAAACAAATACGTCGTAGTGGACAAAAACGAAAACGTGAACAAGGTTTATTTTCATTTTGTTATTTATATGAAAAAATTATTTTTTTTATAGATGAAGATGATGAATCGATTAGTGACGATGAAGAACCATCAACATAATCGAAATCATTAAAAAACTATTGTTTTTTTTTCTTTTTATGCAAGCCATTTGCTTGTGTTAAATGTTTATCTTTTTCTGTTGTTGTTGTTATTATATTGTTTCATTATTCCTAAAGGAATTATTGTTAATCGTGATTATCGATTATCTGTAGAAAAAAAATCATATGTTTTTTTTTTTGGAAATAAAATATCTTAGCATTAGTCATATGAAATGTTTAAGGCCCCCCCTCAAAAATCGTTTTCAGCCCAGGAACATTCAAATGAGATGAAACTTTCAGGATATGTTGGTGCTAGAAAGGGAAGACTACCATAAAATTTTCAGCCCAAAAGCTTTAGGTTTCAGGGAGATATGAACAAAACAAGGGTCAAGAATGACTCATTTGGCATCCCAAATTTCTCGGTCCTAGTTCGTTCAATATATTAATTTTTTTTTTTTGTTTGAAAGGCCGTCTCAAGGCGGAGTGCATGTTGGGAGCCTTTTTTTGAAGTAAGTTTTTTTAAGCGCAAAAAAGAGATAACAAGTTCAATGGCTGAAAAAAGTGTCAAAAAATGGTAACTAAATCATATAATTGGCTGTATGTTGACCAAACAAAGGCTTAATTAAAAAATCGGGTCCCACCATGTACTCCGCCTGGAGACGGTCTTTCAAACAAAAAAAAAATATTAATATATTGAACGAACCGGGGGAGGAGAAATTTGGGATGCGCTTTTTGGAAAGTGCAAACTGAGAAAAAACGAAAAAGATTTTTGGATATTTCAAAAAACCGCTGGTTTTTCAAAAACTGGTTCTCTGAAATTCTGAAATATTTCGGGAAAAAATGGAGGTTTTAGGAAAAATTTTTATTGATTTTGAAAGAGCAGACGACGGGCTATTTTCCTATGTATTTATCTCAATTTTGACAGTTCTCACGAAAATTGACTTTTTTTGAGGGGGGGCCTTAATAATAATATCGAACAAATGAAAGTTTATGATAACTTTATGCTATTCCGTAAAAATAGAAATATTTTGTTTTATCAGAATACCATAGTCAAAATTGACTAAAAATTCATGTATGATTCGATCTGAATACTATTGCAAATATATTTGAAAAAAAAAATGATGGAAGAAAAAATCTTTTGTAATTTTAGTAGATCAAACATTTAAAATTATGAACAAATGTTTACTTCTTATATGCTTCTAGTAGGAAAGAAGTTTATCAAGAAGTAATAATGTTTTATTAAAAAAATAAATTGATTTCATCAACAACAAGCATATCTTGAGAACTATATTTGTCCGATAATAACATTAATGCATCATATATCAATATGAAAAAACTCATCAATATAGCTGTTTTGTTCTATAATCTATATATTTAAACCGAAATTTAAATCATATATATAATGTATGGTTATTAAATTTATGCTCGTGTATTTTCTTTATTATCAAAAAATTAACATATTTCACACGAAACAATATTTTGTAATTATTAATCGTGCAAAATATAAAAAAGAATATAAATAGGTAAAGAAAAGATGAAAACCTAACTAGGAAAGCTAATGCAAAAAATAAGAATGACTGAAGCACTTGATATTGTTCTTGTTATTCGATAATTTATGCTTCAGGAACAGCTTTACCAGCGAGTGAAGCACCAGGTGGAGTAGCATAATTTGGTTTATTTCTGCAAAAAAAAAAAAAACAATTATAAACTCAAAAAATATTATAAATAATAATGTCAACATACGTAAGTGATTCAGTATTTCCAAATCGATCACCAGTATCCATAGCAAGTGCTCCAGCACCAACACCAAATCCAACACCACGAATACCAAATTTACGGCCATAACATTGTTTGCAATAAATATTACCTTCATGTTCAGCCATTATCATAGGTTCTAACATTTTCTTACAAAGACCTTTACACAAAAAATTAAAACATTAGTAATAATGCATGATTTAAAAAAAAAAAGAAATCTCACATACCACATCGATAACAGGTCTTATGCCATTGTTTTCCGGCAGCTGGAATTGCTTCAGCATGAAAAACAGCTTGATTACAACGTGGACAACGAATAACTTCTTGATTTCCGAAAGGCATTCTAAAAAAAAAAACATAAAATGATTTAAATCAATATTTATACATAGATATTATCATAAGAAAATTTATTATGAATATAGTATCTATTATTACTTACATTTGTTTGATGTGTTATAATAAATATCGAATAACTCTAAAAACAAAAAAAAAACAAACTTAATAACTAATAATATCCAGTGAACTCAACAATAAGCTCTGTCAATCTATTATATTAACATAAAGAAGCAACTAACATTATAAATACAAATGCTATTTTCTGAGAAAAAGATGAGAAACACTCGATATATATATATATATGACTTATCTAAAGTTAGATAGAAAACAACAAAAAGAAACAAATCAAGATCAAAGAAAAGAAAAATTACTTGAGTAATATTTTCTGATTACTGTTTGCTTTTAGCCTTCCATTATATTATTTCTATTTTCTTCTATGAATGTTATAAAGTACAATATCCAAATGCGATACAAAAAAAAAAAACGATAAGAAGAAGAAAAAGGAATCTGTCAACTTCTATTCATGTTATACAGTTTTTCTATATAAGAAATAAAGAAAATATTCTCAATCAACAATATACTAGAGATAATATTTTTGTTTTTTTTTTGCTATTCTATTCAGATTTGGATTTGTATTAGCTTAAAACAAACCAAAAAGAGAAACTAAATAGAATATGTGCGTTGGCATAGATATAACAAAATTATTCACAGACATAAAGCTTATTTTATCGCACTGTTGACGCCCATATTATTATTATCTTCTCAGTTAGTTAGATTTTGTAGGCAAAATAGATAATTGTTTACATATTTTTAAAGATGAAAAGAGAATATATTTGTTTTATGCATATCAGATTCTTTAATAGCATAACTTTAATATAAACATTTTGATCAAATGTGAAAACCTAAAGAAACATATGTATATATTCCGAAAGATGATTAAAAACTTAGAATTTGTTAAATTGTTCTATATTATATAAGTATATACAAATGATTTTAAATATTTTCAAATTATTGTCTATTAATACAAGACAATAGCACATGTAAAAATGAAATCGTCACAAACATTTACATGAAAATATACTTATTATTATGTTTTGAGAAAGAACATGTTTGAATCTTATCCATGCAAGTGTTTACATATTTACGCATGACATATGGCTTGCAGCTGAAAACTAACACTTTTTATTAAGTGACAAGAATCTTGATTGTTTTTGACAGTGAGATAGCAATGTCTCAATACTTTTCGATAGACAATACTCATAAGTTTTCACAAAATAGTCATTTCTATCGGAATTTGTTTTTTGATATTCAACTTAGCTGTAATTTTCTTACAGATGTTCATGAGCAAACAATTATTTTACGTTTCAAATTTAGATAAAAAAGTTGAATCACGACTATGTCTAGTCGGTCGAATGTTATCATCTGTTAAGTTAATTTAATTGCAGCTATTCCAATATTCATTGAAACTTCTTCTTTATATTAATTTCAATGCAGATCAACATAACTTTATTTGATATTACTAATCTCAATACTATACTTTTTAGCAGATTCAATAGGCATTATGCTTGCTAAATTTGACCGACAATTTACACCATAAACAGATTCGCTATGTAATCTGTATTATCTGGCGAATTCGCCAGAAGCATAAGCGCAGTAGAAAATCTTCGTAGGCGTGCTGCGAAAGTAGAAGACGAGTTAGCTCACTCGATTCTTACTACACTCAAAGCCACAATTACCAAAATAATTCTACGTCAATATGCACGTCTTTACAATATATAAATTATTAAATACAACAATTTACTCCTCATCTCTATATGTGATCATTTATATTTCTTTTGAAATTAGCATCCATGGACATACATGTCTCATAATCAATACATCTCCGAGTGTTGATTGCATTATTAGAATAAATCGATAGTCGAATGGCGAATACGTTTATTTCATAGAAAAAAGTATATAAATTTGTATCATATACTAAGAAAAGACTTTGGCATGTTCAAACATGCCTGTACACATGAGTTTTTTAGAATAACGTTCGTATTTTGTTTCAAACTACAATATAATGAATGTATTTCTATGCATATCTAATGCGCATATAGTTTTATACTGTCATACGTCCATAGATCATGAGAATATGATTCATATATGTGCATAGTTACACAGGGTTTTTTTAATCATTACTAATGATGGTTGTCTGATAAAGACTTAATCTATTCTTCAATCAGAAATAATTTTTGTTTGATCAATAATCTTGCATATCTGTATATATCATCTTTATAGTTGGAAGATTATTATTTTATTTAAAATGAAAATAAGTTTGAAATATAGAAAATCATTCTTATGTGTAAATATTGATATATCATAGAATTATAATATTAGAAACTTTCATAATTGATTATATCATTTGTATTCATTCATGAATATATAAAATACATCGATGTTCTTATCTTGTCTTAATCAATGTCATCCTCTAATGAAACAAAAAAAAGGAATTTAAGTTGTATAATCACTGTTATTCTATTGATTGTAACAATAAAATTTGTTTATTTTTAATCATCGTCACGTCGACTGTCATCAACGAATATCTTTGAATATGTCTATCTATCATCAACTGATCTATTTCAATATATAATGAAATTCTCTTGAATAATTTCTTTATGTCAAACAGATAGTAATGTATTTCTAATGCACCCATTGTAGCTGTAACATTAACTATGGTATAGAAGCTTGATGACCGAAACCCGGAAGAAAACACATAGATCAATTGACAGATTGAAGACTCATATTCGCTAATCTTCATCTGTAATATCAAATTTTATCTTCAGAGATAGTTTGAACTTTGTCAATCATATTTTATATTCTTTAAAATAAGTTTTATTTATTTATTAAAAATTAAAATTTATTCACAAATCTTAGTTAAACATAAAACTTCAAAATTATTCGGTATATTATTTTCTCGTCCACCCCATGGCAAATAAACACAACTATGACTTGGTTCAAATTTTCCGCAACATATTCCACCTTGAAATGGAGCTCGACCAATAAATAAAGGACTTCTATTATCACCTCCAGCTTGTAATGCTCCTGTTGGTAAATTATTTCCACTAGTGGGAACCCATCTTAAATCTTGTTGATTTGGATGAGTTAAAACTTGATAAACTGTAGAAGTTTGTTCTTTACCACCACAACTAACAAAAGCTTGTTTATGACTAGGAGCAAGTTTGCCTGGAGCTAATTGACCTTCCTTTGTAGTAAATCGTGCAACATATATTGGTTGACCATTAGCCTCGTGTCCACCAGAAACAGCATTTGGTGGAACTTCACCATTGCTTGCTAAAACCCAAACAGCTCCAGTATCTTTATAGTGCGATACTTTATTTATGTAATAGACATAAAATAATAAATAATCAAAAAAAGAAAACGTTCTTACTCGTTGGTAGAGACATTTATGTTAAAAGAATTTTTTATTTTAAATTTTCACGATCCTCATGTCTTATATTTTTAAATTCTTATCGCAATTTAACCAACTCAAGTTTTGTTTTTTTTTTGTTGATTTTCTTATCATTGTCACATCATGTCAGATTTCCTAGTGTATCGTGTTGACATTTATATATTTTGAATTATTATTTTATTTGAGAATACAAAGTACACATCTTGGTCGGAAGATAAAAACGATTCGGTAGAGATAATAACAAAAAAATAGTCGTATATACTATTACCTCGTGGATATAGCTTCAAAGGAAAATATGCTAATCAATTGTAAAGTCAAACAAACTTAAAGATATCCTAATCAATTAATTATTTGTCATATTTTTCTCTAATTTATATAGACTTGTGTCACTCAACATAAACTTGAAAGTTTTTATTAAGAATAGAGATAGCCAAATTTTCTCAAATGTGATATTTTAGATGAATAGAGTTGTTCATCTTAATCGATAAAATTCTCATTATTCAATACAATTAAAATTTCAATAATAATAAATGTAAACAATAGAGATTTGTACAAATTTTTTTGCCTCTACAGCAGTGACGTATCCAGGATTTTTCAGTATGCTGAATCTCGATTTCCGAGCACGGGACCCAGATGAAACTCATGGAGGGTGATGTTGGATCCAAATAATGGAATTTTATCAAAAAAAATTTACACTCGAAGTTTGCGAAAAAAATTAGCATTTTCCTGATCCCCCCTCGAGGATTTTTTTTGCTGTTAGTAGTATCATGGTTTTTAGAATTTCATAGGAAGCTACACCGAATTTCATCGATAGTTTTCAAATGTCGTTTAAAAATATGCAACCGTTCAAGAGTTATAACTTTTTGAATTTTTGCTACATGTGAAAACAATTTTTGCAAAATTTCAAATCGTCATAACTCTTGAACGGTTGCATATTTTCAGACGAAATTTGAAATCTATCGATGAAATTCGGTGTAGCTTCCTATGAAATTCTAAAAACCATGATACTACTAACAGCAAAAAATCCTCGAGGGGGGATCAGGAAAATGCTAATTTTTTTCGCAAACTCCGAGTGTAAATTTTTTTTGATAAAATTCCATTATTTGGATCCAACATCACCCTTCATGAGTTTCATCTGGGTCCCGTGCTCGGAAATCGAGATTCAGCATACTGAAAAATCCTGGATACGTCACTGCTCTACAGTAATGTGAACAAAAGTTTTCATGTAGTCTAAATCATAGTATTGTATATTTTTTGTAATAATTGAATCAATTTCATATGAATAAATAAATTACAAATATAAAAAAAAACCCAAATCAAGATGTGTATTCATAGAAATTATTATCCGTATTATATTTTAATCTTCTTCAAAAAGTATTTTAATCATTTCTGTATCGAGTAATTGACTTTCAGTAAGACGTTTAGTCTAACGAAAAAAAAATAAATAATTTATTTCAATATAATAAAATAATTATTACCGTTCCCCATTCAACTAAAGTTGGAATATTTGTTAATCGAAGATTTGGATCTGTTCGAAATGAACAATTTGGATCTTTCCAACTATAAAAAAAAAATACAAATTTTTGTATTTCTTGGTTGATAACCTTTCATATACTCTTAAAACAAATCCGTATTAATGAAAATCTTAGAAAAGTGAATTGTTTTTCTTCAATAAAAATTATTATTTCAAATTTACCTTGCTCGATTACCAACTGAACATTCAATAAATATTCCATTCGATGGTAATGATGATTTAACTGTTTCTTCTACTGGTTTTTCTGCTAAAACACAATCCGGACACCTACACAAACAAAAAAAATAGAATTTTTTGATCATCTGTTTACTTACCAACTATGTCCTTGACTATCTTTTGCTCCACTAAATAATATAAAAATTCTTTTATCTTTTCCATAATTTTCCAATGTTTTTTTCAATTGTTCATAACCTTCTATAGATACTAATGAAGTCATCTACAATATAAAATTGAAGATTTTGTTTGTTTTATATTACTAAAAAAAACAATGCGAGTATTATTATATATAAAAAAATAAGTTTGATTAACATGAGATTAATTTTTTTTTAAATAAATTTAATATTGAATCTGCAATAATTCTTGCATTTGTTCTTTGATATCCCCCGGATGTACACATAACAATTGGAATATTTCGTTCTCGAATACATTTTGAAAAAACAATTTCATCACGAATAATTATACCCTAAATAAATGAAAAGAAAATTTTATTTAATAAAAAAAAAAAATACTTCTGGTGTAATATCAAGATTTCCAAGTGGATCACCTTGAAGTATATCTGTTCCAGCATTATAAACAATAAAATTTGGTTGAAATTCATTTAAACATTTTTCAAGATTTATATGTAATAAACGAAGATATATTTTATCATTAGTATAATTTTCTAATTCAATTTTACATCTGATTGCATTTTTAGCTTGATGATCATGAGGATAAATCTGACGATTATACATATCCATTATATATACTCTATCATCATTCATAAAATCTCGTTCATATCCATTACCCTAAAACAAATGTAAAATAAATTTTTGTTATTTATAAAAAAATAATTATTACTATACTTGATGAGCATCTAAATCAATAATAAGAACTTTTTTTATTTGATTAGAATAATAAGTAAAAAGATTTATAATAAGTAATGTTATATCAGCATAAGCACAAAATCCACCACCACTATCCGATGAACAATGATGAAAACCACCACCAATATTTATTGACCAACCACGTTCTAATGCTAATTTTCCTGCCTTGAAAATAAGTAAAAAAACTAAAATATCGAAATTAATTTTTAACAATAAGAAAAAAATATTTTACAAGTACAGTTCCACCAGTTTGATATCGTAATGGTTTAAGAATACGCCATTGTACAATAAAATTAGGTAACATAGCAACTAATGGTACTTCAAGTACACGTGCAACTTGTATACTCCATTTAAGACTTGATAAATAATGTTTTGTATGTACTAGAAGAAGATCATTTGTTGTTGCTTCATTTGGTGTTACAATTGTATCATTTGTAATCATTTTTGCTTCTAAAGAAATGAAATACAAAAAAAAAGAAAAAACGATATGTTATAAATACGTTGAAGAAAATTTATAATTGATCCCCATTTCGATGAATCAAATGGATGAAGTTTTTCCATATAAAGAAAACCAATATTATAATTTGAAGAATAAATTATTGGCCATTGATGAGGAGTAATATCTTTGTACAATGGATTTCTATAGTAGAATAAAAATAATATATTTTTATTATAGGACATATATATATATACTTTGATAATTCGTCAATTGATGAAGAAGCCATTATACATAGTTATAATCCGGTTGTTATTTACTATTGATCTAAAAAAAGATAAAATAAATTTTATTTGCTAAGGGATTTTGAAAACAAAAAAATCGTAATTTGAAACTTTCTTTTCTTCAAATAAAAACTAAAGACATATGTTCGACTGTTTTATAAAGTACAGATAAAATACTTTTATGGATTTATATAGTTAAATTTTCTTTTTCAAATTTCATGCTTTGTAAAGAACTAATTTTTCTTATGAGTCATATTTTACATTTGATGGGTTGTTTTTGTACCAATCCTAATATATTCATATATGGGTAGGTTGCACTGTGTCTTAGTCTAACGATGGCAAATGTACTTATCACTATGGACATCTATAAATAGAAATCACCTCTAATCTATCTTAAATAAGCAAAAGGTAAAAACAAACCAACTTATCACTCATCTTGTGTTTTGAGGAAAATCCTTTTTTTTCTTTCTACAGATTCTCATCATTGCAAAGATTATTTCCGTTTCAGGTCGATTCTTCCGATCATCTGAAAACGATGAAGAAATCACATGATTAACGGCCTTAAATGATGAAAAATGAGGATGTGCATTCCAATAAATATAGTGACTATTGCAGATGGGACTTATCGTATCATAAGAAATCTTTAAAATTATTAATATAGATCAATACTCAAAACAGTATCAACATAATCGTACTATTGATGATTGATTTATATAGAATAATTTTTTTTAATATCCTTAGTCGAACAATTAATATTATTTTTCTCATTTGTCATGTATTATTTTTTTATCTTTTTATCATTTGATAAATTGTTTATCAAAAGACAAATATTCGATAATTTTCTTTATTTTACAAAGTGAAAATTAGACGATTTATATATCATGACTCTTGTTTTAATAGATAAAATAAGCATTTAACATCTTTGAGATAATTATTTATTGCTGTTGCCTTCTATAAAAACTTCTTATAAGTCAACAATACCAAAAAAAACCATTGTTGATAAACAAAAAAAAAAAATTAAACTTAGTTTGTTTTTTTTTTAAATGATTTTCTAGTCGAATTAGTAAAAATAAGATAACATATCTAATTTAAATTATTTTTCTATTTTTTTTATGTTCAATTTTGAGATCGAAAAAACCATCTAAATTATATTTTGAAAGTAAACATTCTAAAAAATGAATTCCTAACTGAATTAAAAGAAAATATGACATAAAAATTTATTTTCATTATATTTTTTATTTTTATATATTAAAAAGAAAAATCATATTTATTAATATAGATGGATCAAAACAATTGTCGTAGATGACAAATTTATAACGAATTTTTCAATTTGTCAAGTGGCTACTTAAAATCAAAAAAAAAAAGACATTTTTATTGAAGAAGCATAAAAACAAAAAAATAATTCTTCTTCGTATATGATTGTTTAGTCAACTGGATGTTAACAATAGTTATAATAATGCATCTATCAATGTATTTTTTTTTTCTTTGTGTTTGACATTGAAAGCTCTTCATCGTATTTACGATTTATTTTTATAAAACATACTCTTAAAAGAAAGAATGATAACAAGAATAAGATAGTTGCTAAGGTATCTTGTAGATATAAATACACACACACATATTATAATATTCATTGAAATAATATAAAATGTTCGAGTATGCGAGTTAATGTTTTGCATCATTTTAAACTAACTAAAAAAAACATTCCGTTTCTATCGTTCAGTTTTCTGTTCTATATTATTGATTCTCACTTTCTTTTTTTCTATGTTTTAAGACAGTAAATTATTGATATTTTCTAAAAAAACAGAAAATAACTATTAAGAATGAATCGAGTAAGTATATATAAAATAAGATAGAATAAATCGAATTATTATTATGTTTAGTCTCGTAATCAAGTTGATGCATATTATAATCGTAATATATCTTTACATAAACCTGGTGTAATACCAAAATCATCTCGTCTTATTTCACCAATAACATCAAATAATCATATATATGAATTAAAACAACGACTTTATGCAAATAAAACTGTTGAATCTTGGTTTGCAAATCATTCACCACAAGGTAAAAACTATTTTTTTGTATTTTCTTAATTAATATTATTATTTTTTCAAGAACGTCGAATTGTCTACAGCTTTCTTGATACACTTTATAAAGATAATCGTACAAATGAAAATAAAGAACAAACTCAAAAACCATCAAATCCTCGATTATCTCAACGAATAAATACAGCTACAAGTCATTCATCACAACGACGATTATCTCAAAGTAGTCATCGAAATAATCGAACATCAAAAGATGATCTTGGAGAAGTTCTTCAATCATTAGAAAGGTAATTATTATGATTCTTAATTTATTTTCATTGTTAAAGTTATAAAATACTTTTTCTATGTATGAAGAAGACAAAGTCAATTTTATTTCGTCTTCATATATAAAGTTTGAGAATCAAAATGCTAAAATCTATGATCTAATCAAAGAAGTTTTTCAATATTAAAAATAGAGGTGTAAGCCGAAGGATCAAACAGCGGCGGCGGCGCCTTATATGATTATCAAAAATTTTTGTTTGTGGCATCGGCGCATCGGCTGAACTTGCTTTTTCACAGCGGCAGTTCCTAAAAAATTCTTTAAATTATCTACGATTCTATGACGGCGGCTCAGCTGTACGACTTACACGTCTAGTTAAAAAAACTTCAAAAGATTAACCGATATTTCACTAGCATAGACTTAACAAAAAAATTCTAAATTTGGAATTAGTATTGTTCTTTATGATTAAACAAGTCAAGTCTAATATAACACTGTTGACATAGATATTTCGTGATCCGTACTAAATTAAGATAAATAAGTCACAGTTAGAGTTTGGTCGGATAAGCACGATCGTCAAAGGCTGTTATTAGTTGTTCATGATATAACTTAGTAAGGATAATTAGAATTTTTTACGGTCAAAAATAATCTAAATGATCATAAACAAATTTCATATTGTTTGATCTGAAGATAAAAATTTATTTATTTATTTATTTTTTCTCATTTTAAGTTATCGTCCTTCAACATCAGTTCAAGAAAAAAATGATCAAACATCATCAACTATTTCAACAATTCCAATACCTGATGTAAATGAAACAAAATCATCAGAAATTAATTCCAAACGTCCATCAACATCAATCGTAAAATATCCTGAAACAATTCAACCTGAAAATTCTTCTAATAATAAAACTTCTCAACGTTATCTTTCACAAACATGGCGTGTTATTAATCCACGTGAAGATATTGAACTTAATGTTCGTCCTGATAGTAATACATCATCATTTTTTAAGTATACAAAAAAAACATATCCGGAATATTTTTTTATTCATCCTGATTGGTATTAAAAGTCTTCGTGCTTTTTTTCTTCTTCTTCTTCTCTTTGGAATTTTTAAACAATAGAAATTCTTGTGTTTTCTTTTTTTCAAATTTAATTAAATAAACTCCTAACAAAACCACCGATAACAATAAACATCAATAAAAGATAAAGTGATTTTTTTATTATTTCTTTTTTGACTTACAACAAAAACAAATGAAAACTTATGGACAACATTGAATTTGACAACCATAATTAAGTTTTGTTCGTTTTAACGGTACATTTTGAGGAGAATTTACACGATTTCCATGATTATATCGTTCATTATTTAATGATGGTTGAGAAATTTTTATTCGTTCAGTTTTATAAGGATATTGATTTTGAATTCGTTTATGATATTTTAATTGTCTTGTTCTATTTTGTTCTTGTCTTAAAAATTGTTGTCTTTGTTCTTCATTTGGAATATGTATTATCCATGGACACATACATCTAATTAAACGTGAAAATTCACGTCGTGCTTGTTTATTAAGTAAAAAATAAAATATAAAACTAAAACACATTGATATCATTGATAATAAATATAATGAATAATTAATAAATATAATTCGACGTAAATTAGAATTAAAATTATATGTTGATAATGTTTGATTAAAATCAAATGATGATGTTAAATTATTTATATTTATATTTAATGTTGATGATTGTGTTAATTTATATGCATGATACCATGTATAAATACTATATGGTGCCCAACAAAAAACATAAAATGATAATAAAAGAACAAGTAATAAAACAGTACGATTAGCATTAGCATTTGCTTGGGAATTTATTTTATAAAGAACAATTGGTGGTGTTATTAGTGTTGAACTTATTGCTGTTGATGAACGACTTGATTGTGATGAATTTATTGAATTATGTATATTTTGATTTAATCGTGCTAATTGTACAGCTGCTGCCATTGTTGTTGTTGTTGTTATTCCACCTATTGTTTCTGTATTAATTGTAATAAAACGTTTATTAAATGAATTTGTTGGTTGTAAATGAAATTCATGATGAAATTTAATATTATCTTCATTAATATATCGTTTTAATCGTGTTTCTGTTATATTATTACGTTTCATAGGTAATAAATATGATGTTTTTGTTAAATAATATTGATTATGTCTTGTACGAATAAAATAAATTAATTTTCCATGAAGAAAAAATGTAAATAGTAATGGTAATATATAAAATGATATTAATATACCAATTAATATACCATGTGTATATTGTATAATACAAATTTTATTTGTTAATGATGTATTTAATATATGTGCATGAAGAGTATTACATATAGCTATTGGTAAACTACATATTATTGGTAAAATTAATAATATTATTGAACCAGATTTTGTTGATATATGACGACACCATTTTGTCCATGATGAACTTGTTGATGATGTATGACCATGAATGTAAACAAAACGATCAAATGCACCTAGTTTTTAAAATATTTTATTTTATTTATTATGAAAGAATTTGTATAAATGTTTTATTTTATTTATTTTTGTTTTTTAAATTAACTCTTTCATTCTAATTTATACTAGTAAGATATTGTTGAAATTATTAAGATGTAGACTTTGTAAATTGGGAGCGAACGTTCTAAGCATTGAAAATAAAATGAGGATATAAAAAATGTTATTTTGTCAGAGGCAACGCGAAGAGAGTATCCAAAAATCGAAGAATATGGCCTAAAATTCGTTCGATTATATTTTTCCAAAATCGGAGGAAACTACTTAATAATCTCTCTAAATTAGGAGAAAATCTGAGACAAAATTCTCAAAGCAGGAAGGTACCTTCCTGCTTGCGTCGCTCCTGTATTTTGGAAATCTTAACAGAAGTACGAACATTCATTTTCTTTTTTGTTATTGAGATCAGTCAGTTGTTGATAGTTTTTATGCTACCTTACAATAGATTTAATCTCTATTATTCTTCTTCGTAATGACGTTCGTTTGAATCATGAACAAGAATATATGATTTCTAAGGACGATTGACTACTGACTGAAAGATATATTGAATGTAGCAAACGTTTTGAAACATTTTTTTACTGTTGTATATAACTTTGTTATTATTTTTCAACAAGAAAAAAAATAAGAGAAAATCGAATATTGTTAAATTATGATTTAGAGTATTATTGTTCATTCATTTTGGCTATTATTAGAGATTTAGTATAATCTTGAAAGCTTATCTCAAATAAATAATATCTCTATTAATTGATCTGAATATTTCATTCTGAAAATAAGCTTGATGCACAAAATCTTAGATTAAATTTCTTTAACTGTTCAAAAAAACTTGTAGTATCTTAAAATAGTTTATTTCACCGTAATTTATCATTTTCTTATTTGTTTTTTTTTTTTTGAAAAATGATCACGTAGTAGCGCTGATTTATGAAGTTCTTCGTTTGTAAAATTATTAAAGTTTTTGCTTATATAATTAGAAGAAAAATAATTCATAATGATACAATAAAAAAAATATAAATTGTAACAGACTAAAATGTCTGTTTCTTCAGTTTTTATTTATAAAGAATTTTTCTTTTTTTTTTTTTAATTGTATTTTCTGTAAACAACACGGAAAAAGATAATTTCATATTAATTGAAAATATATTGAATATACTTAAGAGATAGATAATTGACGTAAATATGACATGCAAATATTTTTCATGATATTATATTCTATTGACGTATTTAGTTTATTGGTTTCATTGCTTGAGTATCATTAAATTATATATAGAAATACTTAGTAGTCAAGTGAGCTTGCTCTTAGACTTCATCATGAAATCTATTTGACATAGATAATTAGACGTAGTTTTAAAAACAAAAATGTTCTATAATTAGAACATTCATAAATATTTGAAATTCAAATTTTTCGATCTCTATTCTGTTTCAAAACACATCACACAATATATATATATATATGATATACTTTATGACAAAATGATTGTACTTGTAATTAATCTTTTTCATAAGATATGTAAATATATTCTAAAACTTGCATTATATATTAAATCGATAGGTTTTTTTTAAAATGAAATTCTGAATAATAATCATCATCATTTCAAACTGTAGTGTGAAATCGATCAGACATATCTCGTAGGATAAAAATTACTTCGGAAAAACCAAAATTAAAAAAAAAGAATTCACTTTCTAAAATTAAATCTATCCTAAAGAAGAAACATTAGAAAATGAACCTATTTTGTTTTTGGGTATTAATTTAGAGTAATGCTCATTAAGCATGAAAATCATGCTTTTTTTTTTGTTGTTTTTATAAAATTTAATCTACGAAAAAAAAACAAATATTTAAGTTATGAATAGTTTTAATTAAGAATATTTTTGAAAGTTATCTGCTTCCGTAATTAGAATGATTACATATCTTATATGAGAATTATTTACTATAATTAAAATGTTAGTGAATTATTCATATAGAAAATAATTTTCAATATTAGTAACATAAAGATAATTATTATGAAGAAATATATTCTTATCTTTAGAATTAAGAAAAAGATAAACATAATTAGCAAAAATAAAAACCTCTTTGCTATATTAGGTTATTATGAACTTAAATCTAGAATACTCTTTCATCCTCAAATTGCTATTTATAAATAAATTTACTAAAGCATGTCAAGCGAATAAGAAAAAAAGATGGTATGAAATGATTATATAAATTATGAAAAATAATTTCAAAAAAGAAAAAACATTAAAAGATTAACAATATTTTCCTCGGTTCGGTACACTTTGCCGACAATGCAATTTGCCCAAAAATATTTGAAATTAAAAAAACTTGTAATTTGTTGAAAGTATTACGTCAGAAGATTTTCAAAATCATGATTCTTTTTCGAAGTTTCTTATGTAAGTTAGGTTGAAAATTTAACTCACATGAGGTAAAGTAGTGCTAAAGGATATTCTGATTTTTTTCTAAATTAAAGAATAAGAATTATTAAGCTCATCTCTTACTCGCGAAACAAGCTACAATTTAATCATGACTTCAAACGGGGGCGGATGTCGGTTTTTTTCTTTGTATCCTCGGGTCACGCACACATCATCTTTACTGAATACCCCCTCTCGGCATTCAAACCCAGAGCCGAAAAAAAAATTGTTACAATCAACAAAAAGATTATTTTATGTAGTCCTTTATCCACGAGACTATACACCCCCACGTGATGCACTCTATAAGTTACTAGATTTAGTAGGCTAAGATGTGGACAAATTTTGTTGGTAAAGTGAACGTGACCTTTTTTCTTGGATGATATTTATTGTTTTATTTTTCAAAAACTTGTCTACAGGGATCATTTTTTTTAAAGATAAGTAGAATAATACTTATTTAATTTAAAAAAAAAACTCATCATACAATACAAATTAAAAAACAAATCTTCTTCTATTATCTTAAAATATTTTTTTTAACATACCTAGAAGATGATAGAATATAATACATGATGAAAATAATGCTTCAAAAAATGTATGAAAACAACAAAGCCATTCTTGTGTAAATGAAGATGAAAGAAGTCGATAAATTTCTGTTGGTGTATCAATCAAAACTAAGCAAAGTTCACCTTAATTAACAAAAATTAATCAAAATAAATTTCTTTTTTTTTTTTGTTTCTTTTTAAACGTACTTATTGCAAGACATAAAACAATACGATCAGTTTGTAAAAGACGATAACGTTTTGAATAAAGAACTTTAGCTAAACATAAATTTCCAATAATAGATATTAATGAAACACATGTTATAAGAATAATAAATATAATTAATGAACGTGAATGTTCTTGTATAATATAATTTTGTTGATTTGTTTTTATTGTTGTATTTAATTCATATGTACTATTAGCAAGACGTGTTAATTCAATAGCACATTCAGGTATTGTTTTAGGTAAACGAAATGTTAAATTTTGTTTAGCTAATAATTGTCGTATATAAATTGGTAAAATTTGTTGTTCATTAACTAATGTTGTTGTTTTATTTAAAACTAATGATAAAAGTTTTTCACATTGCATTATTATTGATGATGAATATGATGGATATATATATGATGATGAATCTTCTGTTAATGTTGTTATAGATCGAATGTGTTGTTCTGTCATTTTTTTTTATCAATTATATAATATAAATATTTAATAATAGAATAGTTAATAAAAAATTAATTCATGATTATATCTAAAAAGAAAAAGAAGAATATGAACATTGTTAATAAGAATAGATAATATTTTATCATATGTTGTTTACATATACTAATGTCATGCACAAATATATCTTGTATATTTGATCCGACAAATCTTATTTGTTTATTTATATTAGTTTATTTGATCTTTTTTTGTTTTTGAATATGATTATGCAATAAAAATTTTAAAATATTTATAAAAATAAAAAAAAATTTAGTTAAAGAATTTTACAACTTATCATCAATGTTTGATTATTGAATTATCATAGTACAATATTATTTCTGTTAGATCTTCAACTACATTAAAACAAAAGAAAAAAAAAAACCTATGATGAAAATTCTTGTACTATTTTTTTATAAATATTTCTCAAAGATATTTTCCATTCTAAATATATAATTTAAAAATGATAGTATCTATATGTCTTATATACAGGGTGGACCATAAGTAACGTAACTGAAAGAAAAAAAATTGAATATCTCTATTATGACTCGAGCAAACGAGCTGATTTTTTTTATCGCTAGTAAAGGTATGTTCACACTTTATATTCATTAAGACAAGGTAAGAGAGAACCTTTTTTTTAAGTACCACTTTTGACTGCAATAAAAAAAAAAATTTTACTTTTTCACTGATAGGAAAAAAAAACAATATACAGGGTAATGCAAAAATTACTTTACCGAAAAAGAATTGAATAACTCCATTACGGTTCTAGCAAACGAGCTGATTTTTTTTACCAATGAGAGAGGTATATTCAAACTTGAGATTCATTATGTATGTTGGTTTTTTTTTCCTATCTGTAAAAAAGTAAAAATTGTTTTCTTGTTGAAGTCAATAATGGTACTTAAAAAAGGTTCTCTCTTACCTTGTCTTTTATGAATATAAAGTGTGAACATATCTTTACTAGCGATAAAAAAAATCAGCTCGTTTGCTCGAGTCATAATGAAGATATTCAATTTTTTTTTCTTTCAGTTGCATTACTTATGGGCCATCCTGTATATATAAAGATATATTCTTACAAGAAAAAATAAGAAAATAATTGTTAACGTCTATCTTTTTTTAATAGAATGTGCTCGAATGCAAGTAATTTTTTATGTTCCTCTCAAGACATGTTCATCAGAAACAGAAAAGGATTAGCACTTATATTATTATTGTTAGATAGGCTCTTATCGACTAACGATTTTAAAATGTTTAAGAAAAATATAGGATAATATTTTTACTTATAAAAACATTGATTTTTAAATTAATTATGAAAAAGTATATAAAGACTCATAGATCTTAAAGGATTGACAATCGAATCAGATTATATTGGATTGCAAGACTTTTGAGTACATAGGTAAAACTCATGTTATAAGTCTTTTAATAAGCTTTTTCCAAGAATATTTATCAATATTAATAAAGTTTACTTTCATCATAATATTATTTCCCAATTAACAAAGCTACTATTCGACTATTATCTCCGTAGAAATGAAAGTGGAGAAGAAAGAATATTAATGAAATTTTACTATCATTTCTATTAAAATTGATTGATACATTCTATAGTAGAAAATAAAGATACAATATATATGTACCTATCTTTATGAATTATTACATTACTATCACAATGTTATTAATCATCAAATAGACAAACATTATCAAAAGAAAAATCCATCGTAGAAATAATACACGCATCAAAGATTTGAACATCTAGTAGGAAAGTCATTTGGCGAATAAGATGTAGCAAAAAAGAAAAGATGAAATGTCACTTTTATTAACATAGATTGAAACATGAATATTAACAATAACATAAATAACATAGTTTTATTTTTTTTTACTTCATTTAATCAACAAATCATATACATTATCAAAGAGAAGAAATGTTTTTATTTATTTATAACTTCTGTCAATAAAAATCTATAATACAAATTTTATTTAGTATTCTATATATTATTTTGATCTATTTCTATCAATAAGAATATACTCGATTTTGAAAAGGAAATCCGACATATATTAATTATAGATTACACTTACTTTGTTATAACGTCAGGTTATATAAATAAAGAGAAAGTAGCTATGCATATCAACAATATAATATAAAAATATTTTTTGTGCATGATATTCTCAATTTTTCATATATATATATATTTTATTAGCTATGCTAGGCATGTGTAAAACAGTTTTATTTCCGTCAAAGTTGTAACCTAAATTAGAACTAAGAGAAGTTTTTTTCTTTTTTTAACTAAGGTATAATTCATATCATAGATATTTACTTGTTCAACCAATCAGAAAGATATGTCAAAGTAAAAAAAAATAAGAATTTTAAGCTGTCTAATAATTTATTTTTACTAAATTTTCAAGCACAAAAAAGAAAAACATCAATGTTATATATAACTGTAACTAAGAGAATTAGATTTTTATATGTCTATACTATTAATCAAAGTCTTCTTAATTATGCTGAAGTACAATGATTTTATTCATAGTTCCTCTCGCTCTACTTATTTCATTTATTATTCGTATTTGTTTAGTTTTAAGCTAATTTATGCATATGTGAATGAGTACGTCGATATGTCTGTTTTTGTGAAATCTTGTTTTTTTTTTCTTCTAGTATTTGTCTATTTGTCATGTCTGTCAATCATGCTATTTGGTATAAGAAACGATAGGACATAGAGAGTGAGAGAGAGAGAAGAAATTAATTTTTTACGATAGTCTTATTGAAAACAAAAAAAAAAAAGAAGCTGCGTAGAAAAGACAAAAAAACGGTAAAAGAAATTTGATTCTCTCATGTCATCGTTTATACATGCACTCATTTTATATTGTTTCTTTTCTTTCTCAGACATTAAATATTCAAATAACTGTCACAATCTAATGAACGAAAAGTTCACAATACTCATTCATATGCAGATCTATTAAAGATATTCCATAGATTATAAATGAGAATACAAAAAAAAACAAAACAAAATATTTTTCTTCTGATAATACAAATAAAGATATATTATGGAAAAATATTCTAATAAAAAGACTAATTTCTTTAAAATAGAATAATCAACTATGCAATTAACTCTTAAAAACGATGAATTTCCGTTAGTATAAGTACGTTCAAGTGATGTTAACAATCATAAATAAAATAAATACATCTTATAATTATACCCAAAGAAAAAAAGTGAAGATGTTTATTCTACTTCCAAAGATTTACTATGATTTTTATCAGATTTTCCGATCTATTCATGCTTGTATAATATAGAATTCGTGATATTTTTCTTTTATACGTAATTACAAAACAATGTCATAATTCACTTTTTCTTTTCTCTCTCTCTCTCTCTTATGACATTTAATCTATGTGCTGACAGTAATACTACTTAGTAATGATGATCTTTACAGTTAATAAAGCTTTGAAGAAATCTTAATTTTCTGCCAATCACCTAAAAACTTTTATGTCTCGAAGAAAGATTTTCTTAGAATTAATTTTCATTGAAAGATGAAGAAAGATCATATCGTATTTAAATCTAAATATAGTTATAATATTCAAGGTTAAAATGATTTATTAAATAAAGCATGATAAAATATGATGAGAACATACTTAATAATTCTCTATAAATATTCTGTTCAACTTATACACACACAAAAAAAAAGACCAGTAAAATTAACTTACTTGAACATCTGACGAACTAACATAATTAATAATGTACTTGAGAATATGTCGCATAATTAGATTTTTTCGGGTCTATGATTTTATTTTATTTATTGTCTGAATTTCTTCTATAATATAATGAGCATGCGATAATATCAACTCAAATGACCTTTTGTCGGTGATACAAAAAAAAAACATGCAAAAGATAAAAGAAAAAAAAAAAATAAAGAAACGTTTGAAAGAGAAAAATATTAGACTGTACTCATGGGAGTATGAAGTCATTGTGAATAACAGCAATATATTTCGTCTTATTTGTAGGATCTAACAAAATAAAAATATAATTTATGTTATGTTTCATGATTACAAAAAAAAAAAAAAAACAATCTATTTCAAGAGATGATGTCATTTAGTTCATCATAAGAAATAACACATTTTCATATTAAGTTGTATTCTAATTGATTTAATAATCTAGCCTGACTTATCGAAAATAAAATACTTACATTATTATTGACATGAAAAATATCTCATGCGTCATTGTATTGAGTGCATAAAAAAAAAAAAATAATATTATAATTTTTTTGTCATTATTTTATAATTCTTCGTTAAGCAAAACACAAAAAAAAAATGAGGGCAAAATATATCGAAAAATGTCAATAAAGTCTTTTACTGTGTATTCTAACTTAAATTATATTTTCCTGTTTGTTTCTTTCCGCTAGAAAACTGTAGAAAAATAATGATTATCTTAATGAAATTTTTCTTTTTCTTTTGAATTACTTAATTTTAATATATTTTATTTATGTCTGAATAATATAATAAGTTAGGACATTTTTCTTTTGAACTATAGTTCGACTCATTCAACTGGTTTTTTTTTCTAATATGATGCATATTGCAGAATTTGATTTAATTTATCATTATTAAAAACTAATATAAATCATCTTACATTTATTTTCATGAATAGAAATAATAAAATAGTTATTGATCTAGTCTTACAAAAAACACAAATAATCCATACGTTCAAATGTATATTGTGCTAGATGCACATATTAACTCTATAATAAGATTTTGCTAATTAGGAAAAAAAAACTAAGTAACTAATGTTATATAGTGACTCCTACATGTTTTTTTTGGTGTAGGATTAGATACTGATTTGTTAAAACAAAAGTATTGAAGCATAAATATAATAAACAACACATATTCTATTTTTAGCGAAAATTAATTTCCGTTCGTAGTAAGTTTTTTTTTTTTTTTTCTTTGATCAATATTTACTAGGACCTAATAGTCTGTATATTCTTCTACATGAGTAAAAATATAGTACTCAACAAGTGATTAAAAAAGTAAATAAGCTTGACGTACACAATTATGAAAATCAAGAGAAATACTTCAGTAAAAGAATAAAGAAAAGTTCTCATAGATAGAGGTTAATTAATTGTACTTTTTTTTTTTTATTAAATTTTCATTACTTTCTCTCTAATGTGTGACTTTATACATACATATCAATTTTCATAGTTCTACTTGAATTCTAAACATTGAATGAAATTTCATCTTAAATACATAAGATGAATGATGAAAAAATAAATTACTATGGACTGTTTGCATGTTTATTTGACATTAGTCAAATAATTAAATTAAGTTCAAGAAAGGAAAAGTTCTACCATTTTTGTCATGATTTTTTCTATTACTCTTTTCAATCATACTGTCTTATATATTTATTTATATATATATTTCTTAATAAAATCACTCACGCATCATGACACATATCAATAAAATAGAATAATACTTTTCTTAGTATTAGCATATTAATCAAATAAAGTATATTATGAATAAAAAAATGATTTCAAACAAAAAAAAAAAAAAGAAATACCATATATGGAAATCATAAGCTTTTTGTTTTTTGTTGAATAATGCTCGATTCCGAAATGATTGAATTCAAGAACAAATATATGAAGTCTATTGCATTGGTTGAGCTGGTCCGATTACTTGTCGAATAACACGAATACCTTTTGGTTGAACAATATGCTAGAAAATAGATATGAATAAGTTCATAATTATAATTCGAAATTTAATTTTTTTATTGAAGTGTAAATAATAGAAAAGAAGTTATTACTTTTATGTTTTTTGAAAATTGTTTTTATCTAATAATCTTCTTTGACATAATTTAGTTTTACAAAGAACAAAAACAAAAAAAAGAAGAAATATGCCAAAGTTTTAATGAACTTTGTTCTGTAGGGAAAATTATATTATAATTTATATTTTAAGTTAATTATGATGATGATGATGACGTCAAATTCCATGACAAAATAATTAAATTTATATATATTCTCAATTAAGAAAGTTCATTAACTTTTCTGTCATTTATCTATTATCTTAATATTTTGTAAAGAATTCTATTTTTGAGATGAATTTTATCTTGGAATTATATCCAAATGAAAACAGACAAGATCTAATGAAGATTTTAATAATTAGATATAATATCTATCAAGAATATATTAACCCATTCGCGGCGGGTGTCCCATATATGGGACGGTAAGGTTTTTCAGTATATGCTCCATATGAATATGCTTCTAACTGCAATTTGATAACAGCACCAAGGGAGAATGTAGGTGTGAGTCTTTATTACTACACCCACACCCATTTATCACCAAAAAACCCCGCCGCGAATGGGTTAAAAATATACTACTTTTTTCTTTTTTTTTTTTTATTGTAATTGAACAATGATGCATTCCTATCTCAATAGAATTCATCATAATATAGATTCTTTTCATCTCGTAAAGGCATAAAGAAATTAATTTTTGCTAATAGTTAAGTACAAAAAAAGAAAAGTAATAAAATATTATCATAAATATACTCTCTATTCTTACAGTTTATTTTCCTTAAGAAACAAATTAATTATATAATCGGAATCTTTTGTTTTGTTTTTTTTTTTAAAAGTATCTAAACTAACCCGTCTTGTAGCAAAAACAGGTACTAATTGTTGAACCATTTGTGATTGTCCTGGAGTTATTTGTTCTTGTTGTTGTGAAGTACAAACTAAAGCTGGTCGAGCTGGTGTACATGGTTGTGGAACTTGTCGAATTACTTCTTGAACTACACGTCGACATGGAACTTTTTGTTGTACAACATTACATACTGGTGGTGGACAATATTCACGTTTTACTATTATTGGACGTGGTTGTTGTTGAGATACACATTTTTCATAAATAATTGGTTGTGGTGGTTGAGATACACATTTTTCATAGATAATTGTTTGTGGTTTTGGTGGAGGAGGTGGACATTGTTCAAAAATAACTAAATTATTTTATTATCATTAAAAAAAAGATATATATATATATATGATTTAGAAAAAAATTTCAATACCTTGACGTGGTAGACAAGGGGGTGGTTGACAATTTTCAATAACAATAGGTTGTACAGGTGGTGGACAAGGTGGTGGTTGTTCTCTATAGATATATATATATAAGAATAATTGAAAACGAGAAAAATAAAAGATTATTCACCTAACAATAATTGGAGGTGGTGTTGGTGGACATTGAGGTACTTGTCGACAAATAATTGGTGGTTCAATTTCTGGTTGACATTGAATTTCTATATAAAAATTCAACTAATTTTCATATGTTCAATCGATCAATAGAAAAGAAAAAAAACAAACATAAAAAATTTACCACGAATAATAATTGGTGCTGGTGGTGGAGGTGTTGGTGGTTTTAACCATCGTATTATAATATTTTGTTTATATGTTACTTCTTGATTGTTTGGCATATGAACAACTTTTGGAGGAAGATTATGACCCGATGGTAAATTCTGAGCAAATTCAACATGGGGAATACCAATAATAGGTGGAGAAGGAGGACGTGTAGACATTGGTACTGATCCACCTAAGAACTGATTTGTACTACCATCGCTGGTTAACATAGTAGAAACAACAGGTAAATACTGTTGTGTCTGAAAACAAGTTGAAGAATATTAAATTTTGAGGAAAAAAAAAAGATAAAACGCTACAAAAAGCAATTGTTGTTTTTTTTGAATAGTAACTCCTTATTGAAAAGGTTGAATAAGTTTTTGTTTTTTTTTTTTTATTGATAAAAAGAATGATCAAAGGTTTAATAAGCAAGCTGTAGAACGAATCTTTTTTTTTTAGTTAGTTTTTAATAAAGCAAATATTTTTTTTTCAAAGCAAATGACAATATACTAATAATAGTGAATCATTTATGAATGCAAGCAGGTGAAGAAAGCGGTAAACAACATTGTTTACATAATAATGAACGACAAGAAGAAGAAGAAGAAGAAGAAGGACAACAGGTATCATGCCTACGTACAACAATAGTTGCCGGATTCATTGAAGGACAGCACACCTATTATATGAATAAATTTTGTCATTTATAAAAATTTACATATAATAATTATAACTTACTGATGATACTGGTGCTGATATAATTGGTAAACGATCAACACACTGAGTAATAACAGGTGTTGATGATGAACATGATTGATTAATTATTTGAAAATTTGGATTACAAAGAAGATTTTGAACAAAATCATCTTGACATGGATTTTGAACGTACATATTCGTTACTTTTTTTGGCAATTGAATACAAGTAGAAGAAGCTATTTGTGGTGTTTCGTATACAGGGCATCCTTGCGCAACAACGACAGGCGAAGGTACTTCTACACAATTGAGAGCTACAGGCAAAGGTAGACCTTGATTTATTTGTCCTTGTTCTTCTTGCTGTTGTTCATATTGTCTAAATGCACGCATAAGTTTCATAACTGAAAGACAAGCATCATCTGCACTTTGTGTTATAAATGTATAACAAAGTGCATTATCAAAACCATGAAATATAGCAACTAATATAGGTGGACCAATAATATATTGTGCATAACGATTAGCTAAATCAACATTTTCAAATTCTCGTTGTATAATTTGATCAGGATTACGTTGATCAGATGGTTCACGACGCATACGTCTTAAAGCACCACAAAATGCTAAATGTTCAATAGGTAAATGTAATGTTCGATTTTGTGTATCAGTTGGTTCAAATGTAAGAAATTCTCCATTATCATTTATTGATAATGAACCTTCTTGTCCAAATATATTAGCATTTGATCGTGCTAATTGTTTTCGTAATATATCTTGAACTAAGTCAGTACCATCAGATGTAGCATAAAATTGTAATGGTTGAACACCTACATATTGTACAATTAATGTTCTACGTTCAAGTTCCCAAAAACGTGCAGCCATTTTATATTAAATTTCTAGTTTTATTTTTAAATATAAATTTAAAGTTTTGAAATTAATTTAAATAATAAAGAAAAAAACAACATTGAATTTTCATTCAAATATGAACTACAACAACGTTAATGTTATGAATTGGATACGGTTCGATACACAAATGTAAATTTGCAAAAAAAAATGCAACAGACAGAAAAAGAGCATCATCTATTATCGATAAAAAAAAAAATGACAGGTGTGATATTAAAGCGAAACGGCAAGGTTAAAATATATTTGTTCATTGAACACAACGTGTCCAATAAGTAGACAAATAGAAAGTAATTTCATGCTACTTTATTCTTTCATTCAATATTTTGACAGACAATGATTCTATATGTTATTGTTATTATCAATGATATTATTTTTTTTTTTTGACAATCAAACAAAATATTATAAAACATATGCATTGATTTCATTAAATAGTCACCTTCATATAAGCACTTTTTATGTCATCTTTTTTTCATGCTTGATTGTAAGTGAAACTTATTTCACTTTATTGAAGTTATTATGTGGTATATGAGAAAAAGAAAAACCTATTCAAATAGGACGAGATTATATTATTACACTAACAATAGAAATATTTATGTTGTTAGCTAATAAAGTTAAACATATTCCGTTCAAATAATAGTTCTCATCATCAAACTAACAAATTTCAAGTACACATTGATATGTCCCTATATTTCGATAGAACGTTTTCGATTTCCATTAGAAAAAATATTTTTCAATTATCTTACAAATAAATCCAAGATACGATTATTCTCATACAAATCGACGATGTTCTACTCACATATGTCAAAACAATTTTAGAGTTCTGAGTACGTTACACATATATTCTGCGTTATTAATTTACAGTACAAATATTTCCATTGTGCGGAAAAAAAACGATAACAGTTAAATTAACTTTGTAAATAATAACAATCAATGAAAGATGACAAAAAAAAATATAAATATTCAAAAATTTTTCTTACAATAAAAGATTTTTGTACTATTTAAAGAGAACATTTCACATATCCAAGTTAAATTAAAGTTCTTATTTGCAAAACTAATAAATTTAAAATATGATCTGCACATGATGAGTATCGAGCAAAATAATGAATGTTTTAGATATTTACAGTATATGTAAAATGCCTACAAGTCAGAATTTTAATACTATAGAATTTTCTTTATTCATGATAACTGGATAGAGCTGGATTTGATGATCTATCTTAAACCAGAATGTTATATGTGTGGTTTTCTAGAGCAATTTGAATGATGAGTAAGAAAACAAGTTTTTCTCAAATTTTGATCCTTTGAGGAATATATATATATATATGGCGCTCATAGACCTTGAGATTCGTAAAATGTTCTAAGATAAACTTAAGCGAATTTTGTTTTTAAATCGATTCGAGATTTTTAATAAAGAAATTTGAAATAACAATAATAATAAAACTAACAATTAAAGTTTTTTATAGTTTAATTTAATTCTCTAGGAGAGGAATTTTCAATCTTCAATGATTTAATAATTTAGTATAAGTATCATCAACTATATAAAACATCATTTGTAACTTAATCGAAATAATTTATTGCTTCTAATAATAGCAGATACATAGAACACTTTGATGAAGAAATTTTCATGGTAATTTTTGAATTTTAAAAGCAGTATGTAGTATTACATAAACTCATTCAATGATAAAACTGTGTTATGTCTATACTGTTAATTTGATGAAGAAATATTAATTTATATTTTCAGAGACGGCGGAGCTATGGGGACTGATTTAACAGTTTTGTTCACGTCATATTTGAATAGGAAGCAAAATATGCTAGTTGTTGGAATATTACATAGTCATGTTGAGCTTACCCAAGCTTCATAGACTCCGCCGCCTTTGTATATTTTGCATTAAAGGAAAAAAAATAAAAGTCTAAGTTTTCCTGTTCTTCAGATGGTTGAAAAACTTGATTTTGATATATTTTACTCTTATAAATAAAACGTAAGAAAATATTTTATTCGAGATTTTCATTGTAATTTTTCAGTTTGTATTTGATTGTTACACTCACATTTAATATCATTAGTATTTAAAAGAAAAAATTTTCTTTTTATTAATTAAAAATAATGATTCATAAGAATGTTATTTGTCCTTTTTTTCATACAAATGTTACGCTTCATCTAGAACTGAATTAACCTTCAGATTGATTTTCAATATTGACGATTGATCAAGGTTTATAAAAAAAAAAATTATAATTGTCGTTTCACAACAATTTTAATAAATTTATCGTTTTTAGTTTTTCTTAAAGTTCACAAATTAATCAGATTTATAAATCTACAAACATTATTATCTGAAGATACGAACAATTATTGGTTGCCTTCGAGTTTTTCTAGTCTAACAAGGGAAGGTCACCAATTGCTAAATCGCCTGTTCGTTGAGACTATGTGCACTATGTAGGTACCAATGAGCTATGAATATCTTGAAAAAAAAGTTCAGGCCGCTAGCTTATTCTTACGAAGATACTGCACTTTTATGCTATGCTTTTAAATGAATGCTTTGGTCCACCTCAGAGACATCCGAAAAATTAATTTTTGAATTTCGACTTAAAACTTTACGTCGAAAGAGGCCTTACCAAGAATAGTATTTTGTGAAAGTTTTAGGTGTTATTACTTCTTCCTATCCTGAAATGAGAACATCAAATCTTCTGATTTATCCGAATAAAGTTATGACGATTGTATCTACGGATAGGAATTTCAGAAAGATCTGAAACTTTCACAAAATACTATTCTTGGTAAGGCCTCTTTCTACGTAAAGTTTCAAGTCGAAATTCAAAAATTAATTTTTCGGATGTCCCTGAGATGGACCACGGCATTCACATTTAAAATCATACCATAAAAGTGTAGTATCTTCGTAGCAATAAACTAGCCGCTCGAACTTTTTTCAGGATATTCATAGCTCATTTGTACCTACATAATTCATATAGTCTCAATGCAAAAGTGATTGTTCAGTTGGTCACCTTCCCTCGTAAGATTTGAATTTTTTTTATAACAAACTAATCTAATAAAATGCATCAATCAAATATCTTATGAACTCCTATAGAAAAACCAATTTTTCTTTTGTATATAAAGTGTACTAAAATATTGTTGACAAATTAAACATGACAATAATCAACAAGTACTCATTCCTAAAGCAAATATTTTGTATACAAAAAATATTTTCAGATAAAATACTCATAGTAATTATAGTGATAAACTAAATAAATAAGTACATAAGACAAAGTAATCATAATTTTAGCATTAAATTCTTAATTTTCCCGTTTAGTCTATACATAAAGTTCAAGTATATATATTCTTCTTATGCTAACAAATTTTCATCATTTATAAATATTTCATTATATGCACCTGTTAAGTAAGAAGCATTCTGTTGTTTATTTACTATGCGGATATTTTTATTGTAATTATAATATTGACAATGAATATGAGATGACGTGCAAAATGAAACTATGTAGTATAGAGAAGAAAAAAAAAAAAAAAAAATGTCTAGGAATTTTTTTTTTTTGAGAGAAAGAGAGAAACTTTATGTGAAACACATAAGATAATTACATTTTTAGAAAAAGTATTATTCGTTATTATAATAAAAACAACAATATATATATATATCTTCAATGAATGTTGAAAATCAAACACAAATAATTATTGATGAAAATATAAATTTAATTTTAAATAAAACTCTTTTTATTATAATTATATGTGTAAGTATTCCAAGTGTATTAATTAATTTATTTGCTATATATCGTCTTCATGGAAATAAAAAATTAAGTGTTTTTGTATTTCGTTGTATATTACATGTTAGTTTATTAACAACATGTACATGTATACCATTTTTTTTAATTGAATTATATTTTAATTTATATTTTCCATTATCATTAACTATATGTAAATTATGGTTAATTATTGATTATTCATCAATTGTTTGTCTTGGTCTTTTGGTATGTTGGGCATCTATACAACGTCATATACTTATATTTGGTCCAATGCGTATTAAAAAACTTCAATCAACATTCAAATTTAAACTTATACCAAGTATATTTGCATTAGGTTTTCCATTAACATGGTATTCAATACTTATATTATCATGTAAATATGATAAAAAAAATTTCTTAGAAAAATATGAATGTCGTCCATGTTTTGAACAAGAAAAATTTATATTTTTAATTGATACATTATTAAGTTTATTAATACCATTATTAATAACAATAATTGTAACATTCTTTTTATTAATTCGTATAATTCGTTTACGTCTTAGTTTATTTCGTTCAAATTCAAAAAGATGGCGACGTTGTAAACGTTTAACACGTCAAATGATATTATTTTCATTTATTTATTTAATTGGCCTTTTACCATATGTATTAACAAATGTTAATTCTTTATACATTTTTTGGCCATCGATTAATTTATCATGGTGTATACAAATAGCTGATGCATTCACATATGTTCCATGTTGTTTTTCATCATTTTTAAGTATATATGCATTTCCTGAAATATGGAAAAAACAACGAAAACGTCATCATCATCATCATCATCGACAAAATAGTTTGAGATTAAATCGACAAAATAAGCATACATCATTTACATTAGTGTCAACATTTCTAACAACATCATCAAATGAAGAATAATTAACTCGAATAAAAATCAAGAAGTCATTTGCTAATTTTATGTTCTATTTTTTTTGTCCCTCATTATATATTCAACATGAATAAGATAAATGTATCTAAAAAAATACAAAACTTATTTTGCTTCTTTTTGTTTATACAATGAAATTCAAGTAATTTGAATACTGATTTTGTCCTATTAGATTAATTATTTATGGAAGAAGAAGAAGAATAGCATTTTAAGATAGTAGTATGTAATCAATGTAGAAATCTTTCATAAAATCATTGGATAATCTTGGAAAGATTTAGGTTTTGTTTTTGTATTTAATCAGGTCTAATTCTAATAGATAAAGTCAATTATCCAATGAAATTTTTTACGCATATTAACACGGAAATGAGATCGAACATCACCATAGAAATCTTTAGTTTCTATGAAAAAAAATAAATAAATAATCATTCGAGCTGCTTTAGAAATTCTATATAATGAATAATTTTATGAAATATGTTCATTGTACTAGACGTATACTCTTATTTTTTTTTACAATGAAACTATAAACTAAATCTATCAATAAGTTTAGAGATTACTCAAAAATATAACTTGATGATCTTAAACACAAGTGGTGAACATAGAATTTTAACATAAAATATTTTACAAATTCTAACTTCATCTGATGTTATAATCCATTAAATTGAAGTTATTTTTTTTCTCTTTAGTTTTATAGAAAATAATTATTTGAAATAATGCTAATTTATATAAATAAATAAAATTTTTGTAGCCTTCAACAAGAATTCTTATTATCAAAAGAGAAATTTATGTTTTATTCAAATCAAATTCGTTCCAAAGATCGTCTATTCATTTTAATCTCTACTACATAAGTTACACAAAAAAAAACAATACACTATTTATTTCTTCAGTAAACGTAAACAGTATGACAAACTTTTAAAACAGCTCATTAATCTTGATTAATTAAATGAATTTATAATTGACATATATATATATTTTTTTCTTCCTATGTATTTTCCATCTATTTTATATAAGAAATATTCTTAAATTTTCACTTTTCTTTTCAAAACATCAATATAACATTTTCCATTATATCTAAAATACATACATATATTCACAACAACAAAAGCAAAACGTTCACACAACAGAAAAGAAAAAGAATTTAGAAACAGAACAACAAAGAAAAAACAAAACCATAGCTCGATTTTTTGCTTTTTTTCAAAATATTCTCGTCAGGTTTAAAATGTTTTCTTTTTTTTGCACACATTCACACAATCAAGGAGGTGTATATATATATATAATTACAACGACACATAATGTAAACATAATTCACTGACACAAGGATTTTTCTTTTTTTGTTTAAATCACGTTACAATAACATTAGATATTAGAAAAAAAAAAGAATAAACATCTCACTACTAACAAACATGATGCGAAATATATTTTCAAAAATTAAATAAAGAAAATGTTTGACATTGATGAACATTTTTTTTTTATACATAGAGTAAACGAACACGAGATGTCGATACTTCAAGGTCACCATCAAAAAATTTTGTTTCAATAACTACATTTCCACTAAAAATAAAATTGTTTTAATTAATTCAATTTCGAATTAGGATTTTATTTTACTTTAACAAACTCGCCGGTATCATTTGACTTTCTGGTGCTGCTTCAATTAGTGATTGCCAAGTATTTGTTGAACCAGGTATTACAAAACCGAATGTAAATGACCATTCTAAATTATAAAAGCAAAAAAAAACAAATTGATGCATATGAATATTTCACTATATAAAAAAAAAACAAAATTTGTCGTTTCAGATATAAATTTCAAGTATATAAACTTATTTATATAACCTTGAATTTTAAAAAGTATCCTTCATTATAATGAAAATCCTATGAGAGAAGAAATTTTTTGAGGCTTATATTCGTTTTTGATCAAACATATTATTCATGTCTACAAGTTATTTGAGAACTATACTCTTTCAAAGATTTCGACTGAAATAAATACACTTGAGTATGTACAATCAAATAGATCATTGGGTTAGTTTATAATGATGATAATTATCTAAAGAGACAATGGAATACCTTTTGAAATTAGAACATACAAAATAAAATTTTCTCATTTTCATTCAATATAATCAGAATTATATTGTTTTTTAATCCTTATCATTCTTTGACTTATGATTATACTAATATCTAGCCTTGCTACATCTTGTTTGATTAATACATCAATATATAATTAAAACAAAATCATTCTTAATTATAATCGATTAATTTTTAAAAAATTAAAGTTTTCGTATTTTCTCTTTGTTATATGAATACTTTGTTTTGTCTGATTATTTCATTTCGATGCACATGATTTCCTTACATTCTTTTCATGACACTTTTCTGCTTCCATTCAAATATCATTAGAATATAAGTATGTAAAACAAAACAATATGCAAACTACGACAAGTAGGCCATGCAGGTCGAATTGAAAAAAAAAACAACAGAGAGAAAGTTCAAGTAAATTTGAAAAGATTCATAGTCTTTCTCATGGGGCCGAAGACAGAGTGAGAAAGAACAAGTCTATTTTATTGTGATATACCTATCAAAACTTTCCTCATCTCATCACTAAAAGAAAAATCCTTAATGGGAAGCATTTGAACTGTCAATACATGTTGTAATATAAGTGTTATTGAAATACCAACACTTACCATATTAGTTGATTAGTGTCTGTGCTGAGTTGATTAATGAAGATCTGATATTTCTCAACATTGAGAGAAGTTGACTTTTTTTTTAGGACATAATCATATAGCTCATCGATAAGGATGTGACTATGAGAGCAAAAGAATGGTCTGCAGAATTTTCTACTTTCAGTTTTCTTTTTCAGTCTAAATTGTATTTTGTATTTAAAAAACAAAGAGAAAGCTTAACACATCATATGCCACGTACTCTTTACCATATGTATCATCGTCAAACTAAATGTATATCCTATTGCAAAATCAAAATTTTTTGTTTCTGAAATAGAATTATAATACTTTATGATTGTATAAAATTTGTTTTTTCTAGTTAATACGAAATTATCATAAATACGTTGTTTTTGTTTTTTACCTTCAATGACTGTGCCTTTAAAATAAACTCGTTGTTCTAAACGAAATTGTTGCATTTCTTCTTGTGATGAAAAATTAATTTCACGTGAAACTGCTCGACATTTAAGAATTCGTTTTGGTACACGTGCTTCATGTTCTACACCAGGTGTAGATCTAAATTTAATTAAATAAAATAATATTATTTAAAAAATAAAATACATACAAATTTTCTGATGATTGCCAAAGAACTCGACCTGAATCAGCATCTCGTAAATTCATCCAATGTAATTTAAAACCATTTAATATATCTTGAGCTCGTTTGGAAGACGAGTGATCGTCAGACATATTTTGAGTTTAAATATTCTAAAAATAATAAAATATATCAAAATTTTTGATTATATATTGTCCAATGATATTTATTTTTCCTAGGAAGTATAAAGAAATTTAAATCAGTTCGTCGAATCTAGAGCGTGATGCTTAGAAAAATATTTTACGTGTCATCTTATTTTTTTTTCTTCTCTCTCGTTTATTATCGTTCTTCTGTCGAGAGTTCTTTTACTTGAATTTCCTTAAGAAAAAGAAAAAACGTTTTTCTTAAGCAACCATAAATTGTGCGTTACTATTAACAACACTTCAAAGAAAAACCTAATATATATATTTTTTTAATGAAAGCGACATCCGCATGCATGTTTCTGTTAGACTTTTTTATTGGTTCTGTAAAGGAACCATTAATATACTGCAACATTTTTTGTTTGTACTTTTATGTTTTTTTTCTTCTCCTCACTCAACAATCATTCATTTATTTTAGATCCTAAGTGCTATTGTTAAAAATGATATCTTTATGGTTATACATTTGTTTAACTTGTTTTATTCAACAATATCATACATCCGGTATTATGGATAATGTTGTTTTTGCTGTTAATTGTGGTGGAGAAGCACATACAGATATAAATGGTATAAAGAAAATAGATTTGAATTTTAATGTATTGATATTTATCTATTTTTTTGTTTTTAGGAATAAAATATCGTAAAGATTATTTAAAAGCTGGTATAAATTCTGATTATGGACGTAATTTAAATATAAATCGAGTACCAAAAGAAGATATGATACTTTATCAAACTGAACGTTATGATTTACAAAAATTTTCATATGAAATTGATTTAAATGATGATGGTGATTATGTACTTTGGATGAAATTTGCTGAAGTTTGGTTTAATGGACCAAATATGAAGGTTTATATATATATATATATTCATATTGAGTTAAATAATTTACAAAAAAAAAATAAAACAAATTTTTTTTTTTTTTTTTATTTTTTTAAATTCAAATTAGGTATTTCAAATTATTCTTAATGATGAACATTCGATTATTGATGAATTAGATATATTTGAAAAAGTTGGTCGTGCAACAGCACATGATGAATATATTCCATTTCAAATAAAAAATAATCGTCTTGTTATTAATGGTCGTAGTACATCATATTCAGGAAAATTAAAAATTACTTTTCAACGTATTGATCATCGAGATAATCCAAAAATTAATGCATTTATTATTTGGCGAGGTTCAATTGATCGTATGTGTCTATGAGAGAGAGAGATAAAAAGAAAAACATACTTTTTTTTTTTGTAATTTGTTTTATTAATTTTTAGAAATTCCAAAATTACCACCAATGCCTACAATGGAAATTCCTGATGAACCATTAGATGTTGAAGAAGATGATGAATTACCAGCTAAACCAACAAATGTAAAACGAAATGTTAAAACAAGTGGACCAAAAGTTATTGATCCATATACTGAAGATCAATCAAGTTCATTAATGCCATTATTAATAGCATTAGCTGCTGTTATACCAATCATTTTTTGTCTCTGTCGTTTGTAGAATGATAATTTCATTATTTAGGACAATTTCGCCTGTATTAACACCGTCCATTTATCAAAAAAAAAAAAAAACAAATATGAGAATAAGCCAACAAATAGATCTTTAATGCGTTCTATTTTTCTAACAATCATCTCTAATGATAATCTCGCTTTTTTTTTATTGTTGCTCTTGATCATGATAAATAGTGTCGTCCGCTTAAGGTGCTCATTCCGAAAACAAGTTTTAGATTTTTATTATGTGTGCGTATTCATTTGTTAACGAACAGACATAAACTTTAATCAATATGTGTTTTTTGTTTTTTTTTTCATTTATTATAACAAAAAAGGAAACTTTTTATAATACAAAAAAAAACAAACATTTATTTAACTTTTTGATCTATATTAATAGCATCTGTAATGTTAAATATAGTCTTCTATTGATATTAACTAGAAAAAGAAAGGAAATCGTCTAGAAAGCTTTTTCTATTGGCTTCTTATTTAGTCATAGAAAAGGAATGAAAGAATTAATAAAACATTAAGTTCAAAGTTGCATCTAGTTAGTGCTGATAACTTAATAAAATTGTTACTTATTTCAAGTCATCCTACAATGCGAAGAAGCATGAATTTATTTAATTTGTTTAAAACATTGAAGTAATATATTTATAGCATATTATTTAGAGTGCTCCATCACTAGCATTATGATAAAAAAATTCAAATATCTTTACTCCAATGTAATCGAACAGGCTGCCATTTTGGTTAATGATAGAACTTTATTCAAAGTTTTCTTCATATAGATAATGTAAGTAAATACTCCTATTAAGTATCGTTATTGACCTCACTAAAGAAATTTATCTCTTGTCAAGTAAGAAAAATATAATGTGAAGTATTTCTATAGATAATATTTAGTTATCACCTAAGAGAACAGCAAGAAGAGATCAAAACAAACTTTATTAATGATGCAAATAGACCAAATTTTCAGAAGTAATTAATTGGAAAATCAACAAATAGAGTACTTCAAATTTTAAAACATGGAACATTGTTTTTTTTGAGGCAATGGGCAAGTTAGTACCCAAAAGTCTTTAATCGTACATCTTAATTTTCAGACACGAATTAAAGCAGTTAAACAAGCTACTTCTGAAATTTTGTTTTATTTGTATCAATGCTGTATCATTCATAAGATTTGTTTTGATTTCTTCTTGCTATTCTCTTAGATAATAATTAAAAATTATCTATGGAACACTAGACATATATTGTTCTATTTGATAACAGATAAATTTTTCCAGTGAAGTCAACAATGACACTTAATTATGTGGAAGCAGAATGAACAAATTGCAATCTCTCATCGTAATGCTATTTATGGAACATTCTGTGTATTTTAAATAGTATGAAACAAGAACCATAGTGTCGAAGAGTCAGTCATTATCCTCATCAGGTTTCTGCTTTGAATTCAATTCCTTTCACCGATGATAACATGTGTAACACGACTCATAACAAGTTCCACAAAAGTGCTGTCGCGAGCAGATCTAAATAATATTGGTGGATACGAGCTACATTTTTTTAAATTCTGAACAATAACACCATGAGTTTTGGAAAGATGTTAGAAGTGTAGAGCATGAAATTCTCTATTTATTGATGCCAAATACTCTCAATCGGAAATAGAAGTTGATGATACACAGACGTACACAAATCAATTAATGCTTACCGAGAATATTCGAGACCATCGTTAGACGGTTGAGTAACTGTAAGTTTTTTCAAATTTTTGTCGATCAGAAAACTTATCAAGAAAATAAAGGCAGGACTTTTGCAAAACAAAAAATGCTATGTCTCTTGAGCTTAGAACGAAACTTTTGGAACATGCTTGTAATTTTTAAAACAGAAAACAACAATGTTTAGTGAGTTATTGTGTCATCCGTTAAACATCAAATTCATGCTCATTTTGCCTAAGTAGAATTCAGCATTTTAAAACACCGATCAACTATTGTAAAACTACGCTTTTTCATCTGTATGTTATCCTTGAATATCTACGACGTTGTAAATCAAATATAGAATGCTTTTTAGAATTTAACAATCGGAGACAAGTGTTTTGTGTTCATTTGTATGATATCAGAGAGTTTTCTATTATTTGAAATTCTCTTATTTTTCTTTGACAAAAATTATGCTTGCTCTTTCTCATCATTCTTTTTTTTCTTCTTTGTACATATCCATCAATGGTAGAATATGAAACCAAGTATCGAGTCTAGGTGAGACTAGACTCAAGTAAAATGTTTTCTTCAGGGTGGAACCGGAAATAGTTCTCTTAAGAGTAATGCGAGATGGAATGAAGAAAGTTTTGAGGAGATACAAGACACAGGTCAAACAATCTTTTCTGCTTCGGGTTCTAGTCATTATAAAATACATAAATGACTTTTTAACGTCTGGCATTCATCTCGATGTATGAGTTACTTTCTAATGTAATGCTTTAAAGAGTCATAATGAGAAAAAAAGTGCAACACTGGTTTTAAATAAGTCAATGATTTACTGTTCGAATCCCATATATGACAGAACATAGAGGAAACTAGAAAAAAAGGAGGGGATATTAGACAGTTGAGACGCAAATAATTACTTGCTTGTCTAAATAACTGCTAACGGAAAATGTGATTATATGTATATATGATGACATGAAGATCGAAGAACGATTAATAGAAGAAATAATGTAGAGAGAACAAGAATAAAAGATTCCAGCGTGTAACAGACGCACAAAGTAGCAAAAACAACTTGAATAAGATAGAGAGGAAATGGAAGAGAAAAACGACTAAAATATAAATAAGTCTATAATTATACAGGACGAAACAAATGGTGAAAATAGAATATGAATGTAAAATTTGCAAAATTAAACTTTCAATCTTTCTTGAAACTATTCTTACTAACCGATGAAATTGTAATACCCATCTAAAGTTAAATAAAATTATAACTACTTTATAAATAAATAGTGTTCAGTTAGTTACCATAATAGGATAACAATTCTTCATCTATACTGTACTACTTCAAAATGAATTAATTGAAGAAAATCGACAAACAAATGATTCGTTCAAGAATATTAATCACAGATCATTTTTACAACGGCTGTATAAATTCGTAACATCATTTGTTGCCTCTACTGTATCTTCTAATCACTTATATCTGATTATTTGCTCGATGTATGAAAAAATGACTTTGTATCGTCCATGAATGTTTCAATGTTTTACAAAATGAGTGACATGAATTTAGAATGTAACGAAAATATTACACAACAATGTTTTATTTGGAATTCATAGCCACATGTAACTGAAGTAATAATTTCTGTCGCTTTTAGTTCCTGAACAACAGTCATTATTATCTGAAGGCGAATACTTCCGTTCCTTTACAATCATATCGTTATTACAATATCAATCTAATCTTCTTTAAAACTTATGAAAGGGACTTTACATTGTACGAAATGTAAATAAGAATATAAAAATTAGTGATCAAACAATTAGATTCATCAAGGTCACAAAAACTTTTACACAATATTTTGTTCTATATTCTGACTAACTGAAACTATTATTAGAAAGTTGGTTTGAATTAAATACACCATTAAGAATAATCAGCTTCGTTTAATAACAAGCAGATATTGAACATAAGCTAAGTTTATGGCAATCTGGTTCCTGTCCATAAACTTTTAAAAATCTTAACTTACAATCTTTGTTGATATTTCAGCAATAGATATACTAAACTCTATCTGGTAAGATAAAATACTGATTTAATGGTGAATTAAATACTCTTTATTTCATAGGTAGGAGAAAGAAAAGGTAGGGTCTTCTGGAATAAACTTCGCTTTAAACAGAAACTTAATTAATTAAAAGAAACGTTTTTATTAATAATGCCGTGAAGAAAACAAAAATAATGTAGAAATATCAGATAAATCACATGAACAAAAGATTTTAAAGATCTCTATAAGACCAAATAGAAATATTTATGTAATCTTTAATTTGAATTATCTACTTCTACGAAAAAAATGTAAATATCATATCATGTTCGGCTCAATGCAATAGACACACTGCGCACTTATCTTCATCAGCAAAGGCTTCTTCGAATTTGTAAAAAGCCCGTTTCTCAAGTAAATCTCAACTCAAACGATAATCAACTTTGACTTTGAATACTTATACACTAATATCCAAGTGAACAAATCGAAGACTTCTGAAAATTTTGTTTAAAATCACTTCCTGTCACTTTCATGCTCAAATATGCTTTCAAATCGATGGAATCAGTATGAAAGCCCATATATCTTAATCTCAACAGCTGTTTTCACAATTAAAAACGGACAAAACATAAAAGATTTTTTTTATTAATCAAATTTAAAACGTACTGATGATAAGTGCACATTCTTTCAATTTTTATACCGTTGCGAAACCGAAAATTCGCAAACTTCTGACAGGTATTATTACAGCAGGCAACAATTCGATTGTTCCTATCAACATATTGGGCCTGCTTTATTTCAAGAAACATCACACATGAAAAAAGTGACTTATAGTGGAAATGCGCAACAGTCGAATATAAATTATTACGCCCAATTTTAGTTTTATGAAAAACAGAAATACCAATGTAGTTTATTTCAAGTCATTAAAGCATATGGAACAGCCAGCCAATATTAGAAAAGCATTTAAGATATTAACAATATTGAATATTGATAGAGTTTAATAAAACTAATACTCTTGATCGATCTATCTATTTTTTTACTGAATAAAGATCAAAATTTTTCTTCTACTAACAATTATTCTAGCATTCATTGTTACCATATAAAAAAAATGTTTATATCATCAAACAACCATTTCGTTTTATTTCTAACTTATTAGATGGCTATAAATATCTCGAACATCCTATAAGTTAAAAAAACGGATCTTACAATAATATTAATTAAGAACTAAACTAAGAATAGAAACGATCATCAAGTTTTCATCTGAAAAAATCTCTAAATGCTCTTCATTTTTTTCTCTATATTAATTTTCGTCAGAAAAATTAAAAATTGATATGAATGCAAGGAAAGATAACTCGAGGTCTGGTTTTTCATAAACGACATGATTTTTTTTTAGTACATTGTCTTGTCCAAACACTTAAGATCATTCCTGTTATTTTCTGCTTGATAAATGTGTTTTTTTTAGAAAAAAAAGGGAGCTATCTTTTTTTAAGGTTTTTCTCTGTTAGTGCTTGTTTGATCACACAACCCAGAATTCTCCGCGGACCTTCATTCTATATATATAATTTTTTTTGGTTTACAAGAGCATGTCAATATCCAAGACATCACAGAATCTCTTTTTTTGAATTAATCTTTGTTAATATTATATATAAAAAAAAGTACTTTTATAATTAGAGCGCCATATAGTTGAATTTTTCGAGACACCGCATTTTTCATTCTTTTTCTCGCCTTAAAAAAGTGAGGATTTAAAAAATTGTCATGCCTTGCATTCGGACATGTTCTTTTTAGCAAAAGAAATTAGTACAATAGAATGCAACCCCATAGCGATTTTGCAGTTCTCAAACGAGTTGTTTGTGAGCCTTGTTTGTTGAATATCTTTCAAAAACGTCATAATATAGACCTGAAAATTTTATCATAGCCTTTTCACTACAGCCCCAACTTATTCTAAAAATTTCATGCGATTTGAATATACATGACCCATGATCAATTTTTGAGAGATAGTACTTGAAGAACTGCTGGATGATCAACTATTTGAGAAATATGATCTAAATCAGACAATAAAGAATCGGAACGAACTTCTAAAGTTATTTTAATCGGAATATGTTAACACTGAACAGCTATTGGATGGTGAAAGATAGAATTTTTCAAATATATTGAACAATTTTCCATTAAAAAAAATAGTCTTTTACCACGAATTCTTTATTATATTTGCAGACCAACTTTTCAATGATGATAGTTTTATTTTATTTAACATACAGGGTGTTCCAAAAGTCCGGGCCAAAAGTAAATTAATAGAATTCCACTATTTATCAAACTTAATCAACCGATTTTTTTTCCAATAATAGATATCAGTGTGAAGTTTTTGTTTGTCTGGACAAACTTGACAAATACTGTTGATAGTTATAACTTTCGACTAAAACATCAAAAGCAGTCCTTTTTTGAGCCACTTTCTAGTGTTTCTCTTTCAATATCTCAATTTCTTGCGTTTTTTGTGACTTTTATATACGTCACACCTTTCGCTGTTGTTTATATGCATTCGTTGTGATATGTCGGTGCAAAATAAGCCTAATAATGTCAAGTTCCACGACCTTGAAGGTCTTGAGATCGGTTTGTCTTCCTCAGCTCATCAGTCATCATTTCAAAAGTTAAAACGATCTTATGAGCTTCGTGATCTTAGACGTTGACATTATTAGGCTTATTTTGCAATGACATGTCACAACGAATGCATATAAACGATAACATAAGATGTGACCGGTATAAAAGTCACAAAAAACGCAAGAAATTGAGGTATAGAAAGAGAAACACTAGAAAGTGGCTCAAAAAAGGACTGGTTTTGATGTTTTAGTCGAAAGTTATAACTTTCAACAGTATTTGTGAAATTTGTCCGGGAAAACAAAAACTTCACACTGATATCTATTATCGGAAAAAAAATCGGTTGATTAAGTTTGATAAATAGTGGAATTCTATTAATTTACTTTTGGCCCGAACTTTTGAAACACCCTGTAGATATCTGATTGCAAAGTTTACTTCAACAAATTAAATTTTCTCCAGAGATTTTTTCAAAAAACCTTCATGAAATAAAAAAAAACATATCTGTATGAATAAAACACACGATGTCTAGATAATTATTACTTACTTAAGTAGTTTAAATAATAGAATTTAAAGACAAACAAACAATCAGCAGAGGAGCAACTTAGAAATGAATTCAACACCTATACAGAAACTTATGTGTGAGGTAACAATGTAAGTGCATTTTTTTTACTTATCATGTACTCATATTTTAATATGTATTTTATTTATTCTCTAAATAAAAGTCAACTATTACTAACTCTGATGATAATTCTTTGATGGGTGTAAAAAAAAAACAAGGTAACTATTTATTTAATAGAATAGCAATAAGAATAAATATCATTTCTAGAATCTGTTCGAATTGAATTAATACTGAATATGAATTACAGTAAGTAATTGAAACACAATATTTTTATTTCTCGATTTTATTTTCGAAGAAAATCATAACAAAAAAGATATCATTATATATTACAAACGATTAGTAAGTATGGAACGATGCATAAAAAAATTGATGTATTCTATCCAAAATGATTTTGGCTTGAATTATTTAAACTTGATTTTGAAATTAAATAAAATAAGAAGAAAATATTGACTTCCTGTAACTATTTATTCATCAATCGGACTAAGTAATTTGGATTTATGCTTTTTCATAATAATTATTTGATTTGATACAATGCTTAGAGGACTATTAAATCATTCTAAAAAAACTTTCATTGATCTGATCATGATTCGTGTTATCGAGGATGTAATACTTCCCAATCGTAGACAATTTTTCTTTTTCCTGAGCAGTATTGATATTTTCTTTTTGCACTCTATTAAAAGAAAGATATTCTCCCTGTGCATAATGTCCCGACACTGCACACTCAATGTTTATTGCTTTAGATGATCACTGACAAGAGAACTATCCCAACTGACAATTGTCGTTTGAGCTCATACTAAACCTACAAGCAGATCTTTGTAAGACTGAACAAATTCTGAAAGAGTTCGTCTTCATGGACGTTTTATGTCTTCAACAAAGAAACAGATTTTCATATTAATAGAAATAATAAATTATTATATCAATATTGCTTAATAGGTTAGATATGAAATATTTATTATATAATTTCGAAGTAAAAATCTATTTGCTAGACAGTCTATTTGATTGTCTTTTATCCTTTTAGTCGAAGTAAAATATGATTTTCTATCCCATCAATATTTTTTCACTAATGATTCGAATGCATAGTGACATTGATTCTAAAATATATGAATATGTTCTATATAACTCAAAATTTTTATAGGTCAACTCATAGCAATTGAATATTTTTTGAAATGAATTCCTTATTATAATCTATTGCATAGTTTTTATTGTTTATTTCATGGTGCTGAATAGATGAGCTAAATTTTCAAATGAATTTTTCATCTTTGAAAGCTTTAGAAGAATATCGATTTGTACATTTTCAATCTCATTTTTGAAATCTTTTATCTTTTTGAACTGAGCTTCTTTTTCTCCTATTCTTTTTATAAGATATTTCAATACTGATATCGATCAATAAATATAAGTCTATATTTAAAAAAATACCTTAAACATGAGTGTCATAAGTCGATTACTAGAAAGAGAAAATTTTATTAACAACATGCGAATATATTTTCAAGTCTGTTTGAACAAAAAAAAAAAAATGTTATTACTCAATTGACAATTGTATTGTAAAAATAATGATAAGTTTTCCCGAGTTTACAATTTTAGGTGTTATTCTCAAATTGTGAACTATGACACATATTCAATTGGAATGTAAACAAAAGATTTTTTTTTTGTGAAATAATTCTTATTATTTAATTTTAATATATTTCAATTATTATTCTATTAGCAAAGGAGCTCAAAAATAAAACGAGCTTATCTCATTTTCATTAATTAATCTCTAGAACGAATTCTAATTTGACTGGTAATAGAAAATTTTCATTTTTCTTTCATTCTGATTGGTACTAATAATTTGTTAAATGACGAATACTCATTTTTCTGTATCTCTCTCTCTCTCGCTTGCTTCTTTTTTGAGCACTGTTAATTGGTTTATTTGTATTCAAATATCGACAAGCAATACATACATTGCTCATTTTGATCTTTGCCTAAGTGTGTGTGTGTGTGTGTAAATTGAGAAGTCAAGAAAATATGAATCCGCATAACCGTAAGTGAATTCAATTGACGTAATTTGTTAGACAACAATCGCAGCTTTCTTTTATTTTGTTTATTGTTAAATATCTTTTATGTTATATTTAAATAAGCAATTTCTTTCGAAAATATATTTAGTTTATTATCAACAACATTCTGAATATCCGATAGGTATGAATAAACATCAATTTCATGATTCAGGTATTGTTGATGAAGGTCTATCTGATGAAACTGGTTCTATAGAAGATGATTCAAATCAACAAGATAATCATTCTGGTAAGATAAAAAAATATACTTCGTATTATTTTTGAAATTCTATTATTAATATAATAGATATAAATGATATACCAAAAAAACCAAATCAATCATATCTTGAAATAATTGCAGAAGCTATATTAAAAGCACCTAATCGTATGATGCAATTATATGAAATTTATAATTATTTTCAACGAAAGTAAATTTTGTTTATTTTATTTTTTCAAAATAATCTTTATTTTAAAAAAAAATAGATATCGATATTTTGCTGAAGATATTAATAAATCATGGAAAAATAGTGTACGACATAATTTATCATTAAATGATTGTTTTATTAAAGCAGGACGTGGATCAAATGGCAAAGGACATTGTATATAAAGATTTTTCTTTTTACACAATAACTAAATAAAAATTTTTTAGATTGGCGTATTCATGAATTAGCTGAAAAAGAATTTGAACAAGGTCGTTTTCGTCGTCGTCGTTATCGTCAACAAATGCGACAATTACAAATGCATTCTCAAACATATGATACACAATCAATGTCATCATATTATCCTTCAACATCATATTATATGTGTTCACCACCACCATCATATCATAGTATATATCCAACTTCAAATAATTCATCTGAAAATCATTTAATTTCTTCATCGGAAACCTTAGGAACAATGTCAAATTCATATCCATTATATGATCCATATTCATCATCGTATTATACAACAAATTATCATCATCATCCGATGGCTTTGTCATATACAAGTCAAAATGAATCAGCATCTTTTTGATGCTTTTTTGTACTTTGTTGAAAAATTTAAATTTTATTTTTCTTCTTGTGATTATTGTGTCTCTTTTTTTTCCAATAGAATAAATTCTTTACGTTTGATATTCATTAATTGTAAATAAAAATGTTTAATGATGAGCGTGAATGATAAGCAGAAACTATTTCAAGACGATTAGTTATGATAATTTAACCAAAAAAAAAAAAACGATAATAATGAATTTATAGAACGCGATCAAACACAAGAGTAACAAAAGAAAAAAACTTCTTGTCGGCAAAGAATAGAATTAACTTATCGAAAAAGAAAAATTTATCCTAAAGGTGTTGTTATGATACTTCACACGTAACTCAACATCATTTCTCAATTAAACAAACAAACAGCAGGAGGTAATAAATATATTTCTTTGTATATTCATAGTTAAGATTAATCCGATATTCTCTATTTCTTGTTTATTGTCTGTCTATATCGAAATTGTTAACTAGATTAAAAATAATATTTATATTTCAATTTATTGAAACTAATTTACTTATCAAATAAAACTAAATGAATGTAAAATAGCTTAGAAATAAGATATATTACATAATGATATAATTTAATAGAAAATCATTATTTGTTAAATTGTTACAGATGAATTAGAAGCAAAAGAATTCAATATGTTTCGAACAACATTGATAGTTATTTTTTAAATACAACAATTTCTTAATATTTCAAATGATATTATACTATATTTGTTGAAGTTTTGCTTCAAAAATTAATTTTCTCACGGACTTTTAGAACACTTTATTCTAAAATAAGACTAAAAAATCATTCACTATGTATACAAAGTCTTTTTGATCTTAGTATCAATAATATCGATTTTGCTTCTACTACATTATCTTTATTTTCATTGGTTAATATGATTTACTGTTTTTTTCATGACATATTGTCAAACAAAACGAAGTAAATAACTATTCTGCTTGTTATTATTTAGCACTCGTTTATTGACATTATTAGTCTGATTCAATCGGAGATAACATCAAGTAATATCTCCATAGTTGATCCGGATTGTTTTGAAAGACACTTTTTTCTTTATTCATTTTATATAAACTATTGACTGAAATCAACTAACGAAGGAACGTTTTCAACTGTCAAATCCATTTTGAGTTCAAACTTAGTGCATAAGATAGCCCCTAGGAAAGTATGAAAAACCTCAAGAGATTAAATTCTCTTAGGCCTTCTGTACAAAGTTATAGGTATTTTACTGAAATTTTAGCCTAGGGCATGATATATATGAACAAATTGAATAACAATGTTTCAGTCTGAGATTTTACCCATAGCAGTGGCGTACGCAGAAATTTTTCAAGGGGGGGCCCAACTTCGTAGGGGGGCCGGCAATGGCACAAAAAATTTTTTATCACGTGAAAATATTTTTTCCTGTACCCCCCTCCAGGACTTTTTCGTCTCAAGGGGGGGCCCAGGCCCCCTCGACCCCCCTGCGTACGCCGCTGACCCATAGACAGGTCTATTGATGATTAGAATATCCTGAAAGTTTCAACTCAACAGAACATATCCTTTCCGAGATACTAGCATCCCAAAAATGACTCCTATAGGACAACAAATGCTAGGATTTTCTGTTTTTTGAGACTTTATTATCTCGGGAAGGATATGTTCTTTTAAGCTGAAATTTTTAGCATATTCTAATCATCAATAGACCTGTCTGTGGGGAAAATCTCAGATCCAAACGCCGTCATTCGGTTTGTTCGTACGTACCATGCTTTAGACTAAAATTTTAGTAACATGCCTATAACTCTGGACAGAAGACCTAAGGAGATTTAATCACTTGATGTTTTTCATACCTCACTCGGTTTGAACTCAAAAAGGATTTAACAGTTGAAAACGTTTCCTCATTAGTTGTTTTTTCAATATACTAAAAAAATGACTAGACATAAAAATGCTTTGTTTGATAAGGTTCTGAAATTTTGACTATGAATTCAATGTGCAATAAAAACAAAAAACTCCTATCGTCTACATAAATAGATTATGTTCATCTTACATAATAATTGTTCAATTGATACCTATCACAACAGGCGTTGCTTTATAAAAACTTTAATTCGCTGATAGAATAATATTTCCAAATGAAACTTATCAAGCTCGTTTCCCTAATGAACATTAGGTTTTTCTATATTAGTCTTTTCTTTCCTATTAAAAACCTTACTCTCATATTTGAACACACATATATATCATAATAAAATATTATTTCGTTGATTATTCCATATGATTATCGAAATTTTTTTTGCAAGACATAAAATTCTTTGATAATAATATCGATGTTATATTTATTATTTTTCTTTTTTTTCAAAAAAAAACTTTCAAATGAATATTATATTCTCAGTTGATATAACGCGAGAAACAAGAAAATGAATCATTCATTTAGATTTTGTTGAATGCGACAACATCAATCGATTGAACATAATCTTCAAATTCACAAATTTTTTCTTCAAGAAAATCAGTTCCAATCTAAACACCCACACAAATAAAATATTTTAAAAACTAAAAAAATAATTTACTTTATCATCTTCAACAACACAACCAATTTGTAATTTTTTAACACCAAAAGCAACTGGTAAAAGTTTAGCTATAAATAATAATATAAGAAAAATTCAAATATAAATTTTCTACTAACATTGTCCCCAAACAAGACCATCAGCTTCAATTGATCTTACACATTTTTCCATAGCAGCAAGATCAGTTTCATCATCCCAAGGTTTAACATCTAATACAATTGTACTTTTAGCAATAACTTGTTCCTCTTGAAAAGTCCAAAAAAAAAAACAAAACAATTCACATTTTTAATAAAGCAATTTTTTTACTCTTTGATTTTTTTGCTGCATAATCAGCTAAACGTTTTTTTGTTTCTGCACTTTGTTCTTCATCATCAGAACCAAATAAATCAACATCATCATCATCAGCAGCAGCACTAGCAACAGGTTTTGGTTCAACTGGTTTCTAAAATAAATAAAATTCTATTCTTATTGAACAATAAATCAAACGAGATAGAAGGATAAAAAGAAAAAGATCTTTTCTACTAGGAGGAAAAAAAAAGAAAACTATGATTTTTTGCTTTCTATAGATATCTAACCGCACTAATCGTTTGTTTGTTTAATTCAAGTTGTTCAACACGTCGTTTAAGATCATCAAGTATTTGTAAAATATTTTTATGTGTTTCTTCAATATTTGCTAGACGTTGTTCAGTAGTTGTATTTGTTTCATTGGATATTATTGTTGTTGTATCAGTTTTGTTAATCATTTTTCTAACATCACGAATATGTTCACTTAAACTTGCCTGCAAGATTGACGAGAAATTTATTATGTACAAATATAGTTTGCACTCCATGCGTTAAAAAAAAAGAAAAGATATGTGCGAACAAATTGAAAAATCATAGATTCACATAACAGAAGCAAGAGGATATATGGGGAAGGGTTAGTTAGTTAAAAACAAAGTGTTATAGTGCGTCTTGTATTTTTATCATTCGAGTAACAAAAAAAAAGGTTCGGACCTGTTCTTGTTGTTTTGATGGTGGTTCAACTTTTTCTTGTTTGACTTGTTGAACAGATAATGTTGTATTATTTGGTTTTTCACTCTAGTAAAATTTAAAAAAAAAAATTGAATAGAAATTTTGATGAATTATTATTAAAAAAATTACAAAAACATGATAATGTGTTTGTTCAGCAAGTTCAACTTCGTATTTAGGAAACCAACTATTAACATGAATTAAATGTTCAAGCATTGTTGTACGTTTAATGAAGTCAAAGAAAAAAAAAAGTTTTTAAAAAATCTAAAAATCATCAAGAGTATAATATTTATATGTTTACAACATGTCGATATGTATAATGTAATATTTCAAAAGAAATAATTCTTTATTTTAATATTAAAGTTGAGCTAATTGTCCTTCAAGTTCTTTAACACGTTCTCGACTTCGTTGTAATTGAGAATTATTTTTTAATTCATATAATTTATTTCGTATTGTTTCTGTTCTCATTGAAGCTAAATTAAAATCTAACCATGAACCATAACATGAATCTTCATGTGGTAAACCAGATGATATACGTTCTAAATTAGCTACACTTGTATGTAATAATAATTGAACTGCTTGAGCATTTTCCGAAAAACTTCGAGCTATAGATTCAACTTGTTCACGAGGAACTTGTTCAGAACTTAATTGTTGTACAATATTACCAGCATGCCAAAGCATTGTTGTTAATTTATTTTCAGCTTGACGTAATTGTTCGAGAGTATGAGATGTTGTATTTGTAAAATCCGTCATATTTTGAAGTAATACAGAATAATGACGATGTTTTACACACGAAAGTAAAATTAACACCACCAAGGTCTATGATCAATTCATGATTGGTTAATAAATAAATTTTTTTATTGAATAAAAATTTAAAATAAAAATAAAATTTTATTTATTTTTTTCGACAAAAAAAAAAAAAAAAAAAAAATTTTTTTTCATGATAAAAGAAAATTTCATTGGTTATTTAAACGACCAATTAAAATATTTTAGATATTTCAGAATAATATTTCTAATTATTAATGTAACAAGTAGAATTCAATTCTCTTTTTTTTTTTTTACTTTATTTCGAAAACAACAAAATTTACTATATACACTTTAATTCTCAATATTACAACGTAGTATGTATTAATAAATTAAAGTTTATATTTCGATCAGAATACTTCTATTATCTGAACTAAGGATATGTAATTTTAATTAACTAATTATCGATTCAGTATATTTTAAGAATTACAATCTTAAGTTAACAAAAATTGTCAAATAATATAAAGTAGAGAAGAAAATATTTACATCAAATTGTTTTTGCAGGAGGAATAATTAAAAATGAGAGATCAACATCATTTGATATCTTAACTTTACCCAATTGATGTGAAATTTCAACTACAGATACTAGAAACCAGAGGTCCAAACAGGGCACTGGGACTATTGCTCAACCTGATCCTGATCCGCCTGCCATAGGCATCACTTATGGTTTTCAGACTAGTGCAAGTGACAGGCCAAAAATTGCTTGGATCTCTGACTTGCACCAGTCTGAAAACTATAGGTGATGCCTATGGCAGGCAGATCAGGATCAGGTTGAGCAATAGTCCCAGTGCCCTGTTTGTACCTCTGGTTTCTAGTCTGTCGTCATTATTATACTCGTTCGAAAGACCTGGCAGGCCTAAAAAACGTGGCCTGCTTGGAAGTATTCTCTAGTGACAAAAATCAATCGTTTTTTTACTCTCGAACAATTTATTAGGGTTCATAAAGCTCTAAACATCAGTACTTTGGTTTTGCATCAAAATCATTGCATATTTTATAAAAACAAATGAAGAACCAATTTTGAAAAAGCTTGAAAGATATAGTGTGAAGTGTCTCAAAGATAGACGAGGCTCTTAAGCAGACACAACGTAGTCCTATGAAAACCTACGAAAATTGTTTTTCTCCAACATCAGTGGCGTACGCAGAAATTTTTCAAGGGGGGCCCAACTTCGTAGGGGGGGCCGGCCATGGCACAAAAAATTTTTTATCACGTGAAAATATTTTTTCCTGTACCCCTCTCCAGGACTTTTTCGTCTCAAGGGGGGGCCCGGGCCCCCTCGGTCCCCCTGCGTACGCCACTGTCCAACATGTATGTAAAAACACATTGGGTGAATACTTATGATATTATCGTACGTGTAAGCTAAATCTAATCCATGAAATAAGTCTCTAATTTTCATAGAGTTGTTATCTCAATAGATTCTATATTTATGACTCACTGTTTCGTACTTCCGTGAGAAATATTCATAACACTGCTACTACCATAATGAACATTTGTGATTTATGTGTGGTTATAAACGAACTAAACGGATTATATCTAAAACTAATACTTTATTTATTAGTTTTTCATAAATTTTAATTCGATTCGATTATTTGTTTGTTAATTTATGAAAGAAAAATTTAGAACATAATTTTTTAGATTTCTTTTTAAAAGCTGGTGTTGCAATAGCTCGTCTATGTAAAAAATGTGATGGTTCAGGATGTTCAGATGCATATTATTGTTGAGAATGTACAATTACAGAAAAAGATCGTGATAGTTGCCCAAAAATTGTTAATTTAGGAAGTACAAAAAAACAGATTTATTTTATGAAAGCAAAAAAATTTGATTTTAAAAAATGTTAAACATATTTTTTGTATAAAATAAATAAAAAGATTAAAATATAATTCTAGATTTAATATGGATGATAAAAAAAAACGTAAAGTTACGTTTCGTGATATACCTGAAGAACATAAAAAACAAAAAAATACTACAAATGATACACGTTTACATAGTGGAAAATATACATTAGATAGTGATGAAGATGATGATGATGATGAACAAGGAAATGTTAAACAAATGAATCAAAATGATCTTGATGGTTTGTTTTAATAACGAAATTTTTTTATTTCTAAAAAAAAAAAAACAAAACATATATATATTGTTTTATTTCTTCTTCAGAAATTGGACAAGAAGGTGCTACGATTGGTTTTGATGATGATGTTAAAATAACACCATTTAATATTGATGAAGAATTAGAAGAAGGACATTATGATGAAACAGGTTGTTTTCAATGGAAAAAAAAAGACGTATGTATATATATATATCTTCTTTAGAACTAGTACTAGCTCTATGCCACAATATAGTCAGCATTCTCTCAGATGAGTGATACAAGACAAATAGTTTTCAGTGATTTGCAGAGGGCTGTCCGGACACCTCCTAGGAGAAAAAATTCCAGGAGGGAAGTACAGGGCTAAAAGACTATTTATAAGATCAAGAATTTTTTTCTCCTGGCGGCCATTCCCGTTAGGAAATTTCTGGCTATGCCCATGGGATCATGTCATACTGTTGGTATTGAGGTTTACATACAGTATCTTGTGAGGGTGGGTGTGGTTCCGGGTCATTAAATAAGCGAAAAATTCTTTCGAAGAAGTTGGAATTCGGTGAAAACGGACTAATTCACTAGTGATGATTTAAAGATTAGAGACTTGTACAATTTTCCATGTTCAATTGAAGATCTTTTTGACGTCTGCATTTCATTGAAGATAAAAGAAAACCAATGAAGACTTATGAGGGAAGGTCGTCAACTGTTAAATCGCCTGTGCGTTGAGACTATGTGCATTATGTAGGTACCAATGAGTAATGAACATCTTGAAAAAAGTTCGGGTGACTAGCTTATTGCTACGAAGATACTACACTTTTATGGTATGTTTTTAACTGAATACCGTGGTCTCCCTCAGAAACATCAGAAAAATTGATTTTCGAATTTCGGTTTGAAACTGTACATAGAACGAGGACTTATCAAGATTAATATTTTATGAACGGTTTAGGTGTTTCTGACTTCTTCCTTTCCTGAAATGAGAATATCAAATCTTCTGATTTATCCGAATAAAGTTATCATAGTTGTATCTACGGATAGGAACTGCAAAAGGATCTGAAATTTTTACAAAATACTATTCTTAGTAAAACCTCTTTCTATGTAAAGAAATGCAAAAATCAATTTCTCTGATGTCCCTGAGAAAAATCACGGCATTCATTTAAAAGCATACCCATAAAAGTGCAACATCTCCATAGCAATAAGCTAGTCGCCCGAATTGTTTTTTCAAGATATTCATTACTCATTGGTACCTATATAATGCATCTAGCAGAGATGTCCATCGCGGCTGAAACTCTACCGCTGCCGCGCCGCGGCATTAGAAAAAAAAAGTTACCGCGCCGCGATGGTTTAAAAAAAAGTCACCGCGCCGCGATGAGTAATAAACTTGCCGCTGCCGCGATGGTTTTCAAAAAAGTGTTTCGATTTTCACTGCTGCAACTGTATTGGACCAGAAATATTGGTACTAGTCCATCAGATTCATTCAGTCTCGGGGTGTTTCATTTGTAAACAATGAAATTCTATTAAATTCATGCAGTTTTTCAATGTCCTCGAAAAAAAAATGCTGCCGCTGCCGCGATGAGCTTTTAAGAAACCTGCCGCTGCCGCGCCGCCACCGCCACGGCGGCAGCGACAGCGCCGCCATGGACATCTCTGTCATCTAGTCTCAAAGCAAAAGTAATTGATCAGTTGGTAACCTTTCCTTGTTAGAAAGAAAGAAGATTGATGTTTGAATTTTCTAGAAAATCTAATAATAAAAATATTTCTAAATGTAACAATTTTTGTATGTATTTTTAGAAAGATGAAGTTCATGATGCATGGCTTGATGAAATTGATTGGACAAATGTTAAAAATTATAAATTAAAAAATCCTGATGCAACAGGAGAAGATCTTGATGATCAAAAACAAAGTAATTTATCTAATAATGATGATGATGATGATGATGATGAAACAGATAAAAATCAATTTAATGAAATAAATACTATTCAATCAATGCTTACAATTATGGAACCAGGTGAAACTGTTGTTCGTACAATAAAACGTCTTGGAACAATTTTATCTAAGTAAGAATAACTTGCTTAAAAAAAAGTATTTTTCATAAGATTTATTTATTTAGTAATAAACCAAAACAACAATGGAAACAACGTAAACCACTTCCTGGTGAAATTCCAATAGCAAAAAACATTGAACAAACATCTGAAGAATTAAAAAAAAATAAACTTTTACTTGAAGAAATGTCTGGTCTTGCTAATCAATTTGTATCCAATGGTGAACTTGATATCTATCAAGAAACTTATGAACGTCTTAAAGCAAAACTTGATCGTCTTCAATCATCATCAAATTCAACAACAACAACAAATTCAACATTTGATATGTATGCTGATAGTGATATTTCATCATCTGTAAATAAACCAACATCATCAACAGACACAGATCGTAAAAAAACAAAAACAAAAGAATTTTTATATTAATTAATCTTTGTTTTTTTTTTTGTTAAGGTTCATCAAAAGTTCTTTGGGAATATAAAACAGATGTAGATTCAATAGAAAATCTTCAAGGTCCATTTACAACTGAACAAATGATTCGTTTAACAAATATGGAAGGAAAATTAGATAAAAATAAAGTATTATGTCGTCGTATTGGTACTGAACAATTCTATTCAATAAAACGTATTGATTTTGATCTTTATCTTGATTAAATTGTTCATCTGTAAATAAAAACATTAGTTTTTTTTGTCTTTTTCTTATTCATTCAATAAAAGATAACAACTTTTTCTGATCAAGATCTATTACTTTCTTATCAGAGACCGTCACAGGGCGCTTTTTTCACGCCCTGCCCTGCCCTGAAGATTAGTCATGATTTTTTTTCGCCCTGCCCTGCCCA